CAGAGACGGGAGTACTAAGAAATTCCATGAATGTTGAAATGAAAATAATATGCTAGCAAAAATAATCTGATGAGGATGTGGAAGGGAAAACAGCAATGATTTACTTTATTTACAAAGTACAAAGAAATAGCTTCTCCTTTCTCTATTCTTAGAGATGTTTCTGCAAAAATAGGGAGTCTTAGTTTTTACTCTACACTCAGAGATGAATGTTTCTAAGGATTAAGTCCTGCCTTTAATTTTAACAATGCAGAGATGTCTCCAAGGTTATGTGTCAAATAACCATTACATATAATTAAACGTATCTTTGTATCCTTTAGAAGTCTCTCACAATATAAACAGGAGATTGTCATGAGGATTTGACTCTAGCGGAGACAAATTCTTGTTCTTTCTTCTGCTTTGCTGTATATGTGACATTTTGCCCTAATTTTGTAGTCATTTTTGGGCAACTTTAAACATTTGTAAACCTGTTAGTGTTTACTTAGTAATAAATTTTGTTATCTTTTATATTGGTAGAGAAAGGAAATTTTGTTGCTAAAATGTGTAAAGGACAAAAAGCCCGCTAGCGACTTCACATTCCTTATCTTTAATAGGAATACCGTTGCTGAACATAAATTGTCTAAATTAATATTAATATTAAAATTAAAACTCTCCTTACAAGGAGAGGTATAGCATGGACCAATCAGAGCTCAAAAGTAAAAACTGGAATATGCTATTTATTTTGTAATCTACATCCTTAATGGAATATAAGGCCCCAATCAATCAGGTATGGCTCTCACTCAGTTTAAAATGAGGAACAAGTGTCAAGTACTACTTTGTCAACAATACTTGCATGGGGAATACCAATGCAGAAAACAAGAATTTGGGCAGTAGCTATGATGGCAGAAAAAAGCAATGGAAGGAAGTTAAGTACACTTGAGCTTTGTACTAGTTTCATACAAACTTCATTTATGTTAACTGACTGTATGCCATACCTATAAGACAAACTCCAAACTTTTAGTTGTTTACAATCTACTAGGCAGATTTTTTTAAGTGGACAAGTATGTAGATAATATAAAACAAGTTATTGTGGCCATTAAAGATATCAATGTAGGAATTCAAAACAGGGAGAGATCTCATTCCATTAAGATGAGTAATGACAAAGATGAACATTTCAAAGTATGTCATTAGTTTGAAGTTTCAAACAGAGTGAGGGAGAGAGAAAAGAAAAAAAAAAAAAACTGGGGGAAAAAAATGCTGTGAAATGTTACCTAATTAGATCAAGCTCATGTAGAATGCAAGGGCCAAACCAGTCTACAATATGTGTTATCGTGCTTATAAAGTCCATGCTTGTTCTACTAAATCACACCACCAGAATGGTAATTTAAGGTCATATAAAAGACATTCCTTTCCATACTAAAGAGTTTATTCTTAAATTCTAAAGTTATAGGAATCCAGCTTTTTGTTCATTGCTTCTAAGAAAAGAGAAAAAAAAATGAAAAAGAAAACGAAGCTACAGGAAGATGGTCACATACATTTGAAGCTTATAAGAAGACCATTTTATACAAAGCAACAAAAAGGATGAATTAAAGCATAGAGGAATTAGAGGAAGGAGAAGCCCTTAGAAAGGCTGTGAAAATAGCTAGTCCAAACAAGAAACAGAAGAGCCAGAGTTATAACCATGATGGGAAAATAGAAGAAAGATGAATTTAGAAAGAATTCACCAAACTTGGTGACAGACTGAATTTGGTGGTGATGTACAAGGAAGGATTTAAGTACTGATTCATAAAAGAATAGTTAATAGAATTTATCGGAGTGTCCATTGAAAAGTTGCTTCCTAAATGAGGTTGGCCATGTTGAGTCTGGTAGAGGTATATGAACAAGCAGATATCCAGCAATCACTTAGAAATGCAAGTTTGAAACTTAGGCAAGAGGTCAGGCCTGACGGGAGAGATGTCAGAGTTATCTACATGAAATTAACTCATGACACCATTAAGGTAAATAGAACAGTAATTCTAGATTATTCATACAGTTAGAAGGCTAAGAGACAACTCTTCCTTTGCTGGTACTGCAGAAAATCAACTATATTGAGTCAAAACCATTTATGATTTGGAATACATGAGCTCCTTAAAAACTAAAGACACACTCAAAGCAAATATTATTTGGCTAGTCTCTCATCTCAACCATTTTAATTGTGTTTATGAATTTTTTTTAAATTGAATGTGTCATACAAAGAAATTAATTTTGATAGGATCAAGGAGAATTGTGAAACCCTCACCTCTTGGGCTTTGCTCTGTTCCCAGCATTTCTCTCCTTCATACTCCTAGTGAGACCTAGACTTCTATATGCTTCAAAATAAACATAACATATTAAGCACATTGAGGAGTGAAGAAGAAGATAAAGTTAAATCACCTTCTGCCATCAGCCTATTTTCTTCTCAACATTAACCATAAGCTGTACTGTGTTCACTATAATCCTATATCCTTGTTTAAACAAGAAATATAGCGCTGAATATAAAACATGATTGGTCTTTAAATTTCCGTCTTAAGGGAGTGTGCGTGTGTATGTGTGTGTGTGTTTGTATTCCTTGATCCTGGCACTCAAATACTTTGCCAAAGTCTATCTTCCCCATGTCCCCAAGCATGATAGACCTCTGTACCCAAAGATTCATGAACATTTTAATAACCGATTCCTACCAGTAGCATTTTTTTTCTTTTAAGATTTTGGTTAAATCCATAAAGGGTGTTCAACTCTTCTCTCATGCCTTTTTCAGCCTGTCCCCTGAGTCCAGCTATTGCAAGCAGTCTCAATGTTAGGATCATTGGTCATTTTATTTCCCATTTTCCTAGATAAATGTTGGGCATTTACTTTAATCTCATCCACTCTCCTAATTAATTAAAATTCCAAATAGTCATAAGAAGCCTTTATAACACTTTCAGCCCAAACTCACTTTTCTTACCTGAGATAAAACAAGGGATACTTGTTCTAAGTATCCCTTTATACTCTTCTTGTGAAGAAATCCAAAATGCAGCCTGTGTTCCTCTTCACATAAAACATTTTCCGAGTAAAAAATCAAGCAGTTGTTGAACATATGTGAGGCCAAGAATATGTAGGTTATTTTTACTAGGCAGCAAGCAATGAAGACACCAAGAGAAAAAAAAATTTTTTTAAAAATCAAGTAGTTGTCTCTCTGACTTGTGAATGTCTGAGTCTATCTCCCATGTCACAGACTGAAGGGGGGAAAAAAAAAGCAAGGTTTGCAGGTGCAGTGAAGCACAAAGCGTCCGTACCCCAGTATCCAAGCTGGTCACCACCAGCTCCTTAAGCCAGCTCCATGGGAGCGCCACGGAGAATCTCTCGCCGCGCTCAAGACGCGATGGCTACAACATGACCATCCAAGGGAACCCTCCTTTTAATCAAAGAAATCAGCGGCTCGAGTTCCTTCAAGGTAAACAAAGCGGTCCCTGGATAAACTTAAGATCAAGTTCAAGGAGGAAGGTGGAGCCATGCCCAATATAGATGCAGGGGCACCCAAAAGACCCAAAAAAGTGTAGAGGTGCAGTCATCCCAATGTACTAAGCAAATCCAAATGAAGGCGAAGAAGCAGGTGACGGTTGCTGAGGAAAAAGACAACAGCAGGCAAGTCAAATGCAGCCAAGGACTTAACTGCCAAGCCCAAGGCAAAAATAAGCCTAAAACGAGCAAGCCCCAAAGCTTGATAAATTAAAACTAGAATTCCTTAAAGGGTCTTTTAAAGGTCACCCAACTAGTATTTAAGAGAGCTCTTAATGCTAAATCCGTGAGGTTATAGATGTGCCACTTTAGGGCACAGGGTAACAGCATACAGCATCTTTTATAGATAAGGCGGTTGGCTCTGAAAAGAGCCTTTGGGTTTTAGTTATCAAACAAGATTTACGCTCTCTCTCCACGAATGCGACGAGCGAGCTGGATGTCCTTGGGCATAATCGTGACACGTTTGGCGTGGATGGCGCACAGGTTGGTGTCCTCGAAGAGCCCCACCAGGTAGGCCTCGCAGGCCTCCTGCAGCGCCATCACGGCCGAGCTCTGGAAGCGCAGGTCGGTCTTGAAGTCCTGCGCGATCTCGCGCACCAGGCGCTGGAACGGCAGTTTGCGGATCAGCAGCTCGGTGGACTTCTGGTAGCGGCGGATCTCGCGCAGGGCCACGGTGCCGGGCCGGTAGCGGTGGGGCTTCTTCACGCCGCCGGTGGCCGGGGCGCTCTTGCGGGCCGCCTTGGTGGCCAGCTGCTTGCGCGGCGCCTTCCCGCCGGTGGACTTGCGAGCTGTCTGCTTTGTGCGAGCCATTGCAAATTTCTGAAACCAGTTAGAAGCGTGTACTTTTCTACTTATATAAAGACAGTTCTGTTCTGATTGGGTATGGCTGTCGTTCCCTGCAACTCTCAGCGAAGGTATTGGTGGGAATATTCACTTTCTGATCACAGGAACCGCCTCTGCATTTACCAAATAAAGTGTTCCTCTGACCTTCCCGTTTACCTACTGGTGTTTTAAATACTTTATCTCGCCTGTCCCGTCTTTATCCCTTTTACTTTATTTTTTTATCTGCTAGTTATTAAGATTGTGTAACTAGTTTGCAGAATATATATTTTTTAAAAACCTGGCGCCAGAAACTCGCTTTCTATTGATCTTTTCTAAAAAACCCGCGCTAGATATGATTGGTCGATTTTTTTTTTAACCGTCATTTAATTTTGGAAAGGTTAATGTTATCACAATATCTATATATGCCTATTTAAATGTTTGGAGGTATTTATTTTACGGATCTGTTCCAAATGCAACATAAGTATGAATTCTGAAGTTTTCAAGCCTGTTGAACTACAATATTTAATTTCACTACCAATATATTTATTCCTTGTATTTATTACTATATATTTCATTAATACTACATCCTTATATGTAAGCGCTCCTCAATCTTGGACAAGGTTTGCCGTAGGGTGATATTAAGAAACAACAGTCAAATTTGTGAATGATACAAGATTCCGGTGTCCTTTGCATTTCAGGGTGAATGCAGTTAAGATCTGCCTGGGGGCTATATGCAATTGACTAGGTCCAGGTTAGTGACTGTTAGTTAGTAATTAGTATGAAAAAAGGAAAAACACGAACCAAAAAAATCCTTACAAATTTAGTTTAGTCCCATTAAGATGCAAACAGAAGATAAAATTGCTTTGTAAAACTAGATTTGCATGTAAATTTTAAAAGTTGACAAAGCACTATTTTCTCCAGGATTTCTCATTTTCTTCAACAGATTCTGCAATTGCTGAAGGCCAGCTGCGTAGACTTACTTTTGTGTTACCTGTTACGTAAACTTTTAACTTGACTTTTTTATGGTGTCAAGATTATCAATTTCACTTTTGAGAGTTATCGACATCTACGTTAAGTAATGCTAGAGATTGTTTTAAAGTATCTAGTAGCGAAAAGTGTAGCCCTTTTAATGAGCACATGGGTGGCTCTGAAAAGAGCCTTTGGTTAAAGTTGAATCCTTCAAGACTTAAACTGCTTATTCCTTTACTTGCCTTTGGCTTTGTGATGACTCTCAGTCTTCTTGGGTAACAGCACGGCCTGGATGTTGGGAAGGACACCACCCTGCGCGATGGTGACTTTGCCCAGGAGTTTGTTGAGCTCCTCGTCGTTACGGATGGCCAGCTGTAGATGGCGAGGAATGATGCGCGTCTTCTTGTTGTCCCGGGCCGCGTTGCCCGCCAGCTCCAGGATCTCGGCGGTCAGATACTCCAGTACTGCCGCCAGGTACACCGGCGCGCCGGCACCGACCCGCTCGGAATAGTTACCTTTGCGAAGCAGGCGATGCACACGACCCACAGGGAACTGCAGTCCAGCTCTAGAAGACCGTGTCTTGGCCTTGGCACGGACCTTTCCGCCTTGCTTTCCTCGTCCCGACATTTTAGGACTGCTGACTGGAAACGCTCAGCAAAAAGGAGAGAGGTGTAGCTCGCAGTAGGCGCAGCAAATGAGAAACTATTATACTTGCTGGCCGAATTGTAAACTACGCTGTTTGATTGGCTCATACTGTCTTTAGAAGGCAACCAATTGTAAACAAGAAATTTTTAAAAATCACCTAATTTACATATCAGGGATCACATGGAACAATTTATCCAATCAAAGCCTAAGGCTTAAACGCCCGGTTTGTATAGGAGCTCTACAAATATTATCGGCCTTGACGCTAAAGCACATCATTTCTACTACATAACTTGTTAGCTGGTTTTTACCTATTATGCCTGAACTAGCGAAATCCGCTCCTGCCCCAAAGAAGGGCTCCAAAAAGGCGGTCACCAAGGCGCAGAAGAAGGACGGCAAGAAGCGCAAACGCAGCCGCAAGGAGAGCTACTCAGTGTATGTGTACAAGGTGTTGAAGCAGGTCCACCCTGACACCGGCATCTCGTCCAAGGCCATGGGCATCATGAACTCCTTCGTCAACGACATCTTCGAGCGCATTGCGGGTGAGGCCTCGCGCTTGGCGCATTACAACAAGCGCTCGACCATCACCTCCAGGGAGATCCAGACGGCCGTGCGCCTGCTCCTGCCCGGGGAGCTGGCCAAGCACGCCGTGTCCGAGGGCACCAAAGCCGTCACCAAGTACACCAGCTCCAAGTAAATCTTGACACATAAAGTATCATGCCAGTCCACAAAGGCTCTTTTAAGAGCCACCCACTTCCTCGGTTTAAGAGTTGTAATGATTTGTATATTGTGTTGTTACCAGAGAAGGTTGATTTTGTTTCTGGGTTGTTTTAAAACTTTGGCTTGCGGAGCTACATTAGGCATTTTGCTTGAAGGCAAAAATGCTATGTTTTGCAGATGACTGATAACGTGTGTTTCACCCTCAGTGCACACGTTGGTACAAGGCTGGCCCACGAGCTGATATGCAAGTTTTACTTAATACTGTGATATTTCCCTAGAATTGGTTTCCTGACAAGTGAGGAGGTGTTAGCTGAGTGGTACTTTTTGCTAGTGATGCATTTAGGCGAGAAAAAAATAGGTTTCTTTCCATTTAATCTTACCCTTGTACACATCTAGTGAATGTACCTGTTTAAACAACATATGTTTATCAAAATACTGAGGAAAGCAAGACAACTAATGTGCATGAAAACTGAAAACAATGTAAACATCACTGGCTCTAGGGTGGTGCCATTAAATTACAATGAAAATTGTCCTGAATTTCTCTAATGAAAGGTTAGACCATTAGCAAAATACCACTTTGAAATCATGACTGGCAGTCAAGGAAAAGATCCCTTAAGATATTTTGATGCCATTCCCTTAAAATGATGTTTTGGCCGGGCTCGGTGGCTCAGCCTGTAATCCCGCGCCTTTGGGAGGCTGAGGTGAGTGGATTGCCTGAGCCCGCGGGTTCGAGACCCGCCTGGGCAGCGAGACCTCATCTCTACAATAAATAAAAAAAAAAAAAATTAGCCGGGCATGGTAGCACATGCCTGTAATTCCGGCTACTTGGAAGGCTGAGGCGGAAGGATTGCCGGAGCCCAGCAGGTCGAGGCTGCGGTGGCCGGGAGCGGCCACTGCACTCCAGTCTGGGCGACAGAGTGAGACTCCAGCTCAAAAAAAAAAAAAAAAAAATGATGTTTTGGGGTGTTTTTTTCATTGGGGTGGACATAATAGTTTTTTTTTTATCATAGTAGACAAAAATTAGAATTTTTAAATGATGAAAATACTTAATTCATGTCAATCTAGTTACCAACAGCAAAATATTCCTGTCCTATGTAGACACTCATAAAGTTATTAAATTTTACTTTCTTCCTTGTAATTATAAACTTTACTTAAGGTTATATATTGTCATAAACGGCATCTCATGCAGAATAAATGAGAACATGTACAAAATATTTTTAGGATATTTAATATATTTTTGAATGTATGTACAAAATATTTTTAGAATTTTAACAAAGTCAAGAAAAAATACTCTATATTCTTGTATAATTTCTTTCAAGAATAACTCCCCACTCCCTACCCAATACACAAATGCACACACAATACAACATACACAAAGGATACATAAACATTCAAATGAACGTACCTCAACACACACACACACACAAATGAGAGCAACAGGAAAAACTTTAATAAACGAAAACAAAAAATACCAGTTAGCTTTAAGTGAGTTTACATTATTAGTCAATTTGTGCTTACTATAGTTCCAGAAGTAAATATCCAAACTAAGGTCTACATCAGCTTTAGGGGAGTGCATGAACTTCCTATAATTACATGCAAAAATGTGTTGATATGTGTTTCCCCTTCCCAGAACAGAAATTGAATAGCTTTCTATCAAACTCTAAAAATATTGTCACCCACTTTGGTAGGCAAAATAATACCACTCCAGTGATGTTCACAACCTAATCCCTGGAGTCTGTGAATTCCTCGGATGTACCTTAGGTTACCTGACAAAAGGCAGTTTAGGCTGCAGATGGAACTAAGTCTACTAATTGGCTTACTTTAAAGCAGGGAGATTATCCTGGATCAAACAAATGAACCTCACTTAATCACAAGGGTCCTTAAAAGTGGAAGAGAAAATTGGAATAGAAAGGGCACCATCAGAAAGATATGGCCATAAATTACTGGCTTTGAAAATAAAGGAAAGAGATAGTCAGTCAAAGAAAGAGGTGGCCTCTAGGGCACGAAAAGACAAGAAAACATATTTCTTTTGTAGCTCTTTTGTTAAAATCAAGCCAACTCCATGATTTTAGCTCTATAAGATCCATGACTTAATCCTGATTTACAGAACTATATAATTATAAATGTGGGTCCAGTGTTGTGGCTCATGCCTACAATCCAAGCACTTTGGGAGGCCAAGGTGAGAGGATTGCCTGAGTCCTCGGGTTCAAGATCAGCCTGGTCAACTTGGCGAGACCCCCATCTCTGCAATAAATCAAAAAATTAGGCAAGCGTGGTGGCACATCCCTGTAGTTCCAGCTACTTGGAAGGCTGAGGCAAAAGGATCACCTGAGCCCAGCATGTCGAGGCTGCATTGGCCATGAGTATGACACTGCCCTCCAGCCTGGGCTACAGAGTGAAACTCCAACTCAAAATATATATTTATATAAATGTGTATGTTTTAAGTCACAAAATTTGTAATAATTTTTGAAACCAGCAATAGGAAACTGATACACACACACAAGTTTAAGAACAATTGTTCTCAATACTGTTTTTTAAAAATTAAAATTATGCACATTTAAATTCAAATATATAAATACTACTAAAATTATTATAGATGTATGTATATTCTTCCTAAATTCCACAGGTGCAAATGATTTTAAAATTGATGTAATTTAACAGTAGCAGTTTACATTACCTATTTGGTTAGTCTCTAGGGTCTCTGATTTTGTTTTCACAGCAGAAAATTCAATATCTTGAAGCAGGATAGCCTCTACTTATTTATAGTATTATTACCTCTGATAATAATGCTGAATTTCAAAAAGCTTGCATTCATTATGTAAATATAAGGTTGATGAAAAAATTACAATGCCCATAAATAACTCCATTAAAACCCTCAAACATATTCATTTTTATGATTATTGAATTTGTTTTCATTAAAAAAGTCAATAGATTTAATATTAGTAATGTCACTTCATAAGAAAGGAGCAGAATATGAGAACCAGTTCATGTATAGGGCAAAAACTCAAATTCCAACCATGATTTTTTAAAGCTATATTCTGTCTTAATAGAATTAAAAACACCTAACATATTTCTACAGAGTTTTGAAATCTTTAGGAAAAACTTTTTCATAGATTATCCAGAGACTAGGCTACATCTTTTTCTAGTGGGTTGGCCATACATTTTGAAGTGTCCTGAATCAGTCAAAAAGCAGGTCTTACTTTTAGGTTAGGGGAGGAAAAAAGACCTGCAGGCTGCTGTAAAACTTACCTCAATTTTGGCTGTTGGAGTAAAAGCTTTCTCCATGAGAGCTGATAATAATAAACCCTTCCTAGATTGTGTCTTCAGAAATACTTCATACAGTTATCAAATCTCCTGATGCTAAGAGGATGTTCAATAAGTTAATACATTAAGATGTAAAGTAGCAGTGGCCCTTTAAATCAACGGCAGTTCAGTGCCATTTATCAATCAATATTCAATCAGGAAAACAGAAACTATTAAATTATTTCTATAGAGATAATTTAGTAAAAGTTACACAGGTATTGGAAGATTTAAAAGCAAAAGCGAGCCGGGCTCGGTGGCTCAGCCTGTAATCCCGCGCCTTTGGGAGGCTGAGGTGAGTGGATTGCCTGAGCCCGCGGGTTCGAGACCCGCCTGGGCAGCGAGACCTCATCTCTACAATAAATCAAAAAATCAGCCGGGTGTGGTAGCACGTGCCTGTAATTCCGGCTACACGGAAGGATCTCCGGAGCCCAGCAGGTCGAGACTGCGGTGGCCGGGAGCGGCCACTGCACTCCAGTCTGGGCGACAGAGTGGTGAGACTCCAACTCAAAAAATAATAAAATAAAAATAAATAAAAGCAGAAGCGTACTTGAGGTATTTCGGACACTAACAGAAACAGGAGGCAAGTATAGGATAGCAGTCACAAAGAAAAAAGTCAAGACTATTACAAACTAGAAGTTTGAAGGGCCTAACTGGTGGACCTGGGACTCCGAACTCTGAGGGAGTAAAAAGAAGGCGATTCTGAAAGCACAGGGAAAAAAGCTCATGCCCAGGTGAAAGACCATTACTGGAGTGATATTGACAGGAAAATAATATCCTCTTAACTACTACTCCCTTTCAGCATCTCCAGTGTTTCCTATTTCCCTAGCCTAATGGGCACCAAGCTGGCAAAAACTAAATAAGTAAATGAATAACTATGTAGAGGCCAAGAGAAAACTTCAACTCATCCTCTGAAGTTTCACCGAAAATCACTCACCAAGAGGCAGATTAACAGAAAAAGCATACAAATGTATTTGATCACAGTTTTACATGACACGAGAGCTTTCAGAATGAAGACCCAAAGATAGGGGAAATTTTCCATTTGTACAGTTAGATCCAACAAAGTAGACAGGCCTGTAGATATATGATTGAATAAAAAGGGTATGATCTAATGCTAATAGACTGAGTGGGGAAAACCAGCAAGGCCTGTCTGTCTCCATTTTTGTTGGTCTTTCAGTATTTCTTCCTGTTGGTGATGTGGCAGGATCTCGCCAGAATGGAGTCTTGTACAAAGTAGGCCAGATAATTTCCTGATGGCCAGTTTTTACACAGAAAGGCAGAAAGTTGAAGTAATGTATCCACAATTTTTTTGGCTAGCTTTGAAGAAAAAAGGGATTGGTTATGGCTAGCCTCGGGAGAGAATGAGAATGAGACTGGAGGGCAAGAGACAGAAAAATGTTTGCTCCTGAAGCTGCTTCTGAGGCCTTCATTCTGAGGTACTAATGTGAGTCCCAACACTACCCTTTATTTTAAAAGTCTGCAGACAACCGCCTATTTATTGTAATACCCTCGCTACAACAGATGACAAGTCTCTCTGGAATAAAGCTGCTACCAGGATCAAAAAAGAAAACAAAACTAGGAATAGAAAAGTAAACATTAACACACTGATGCCCCGATGCAGATGTGAGGGGTAACTAGATATTAAAATTAGAATTACAAATATTAATAAGTAGGGAAGAATTACACCTGGTTTTCCCATGCTGGGTAACACTGTACCACAACATCAGTAACCAACTACGTCTTTGCCTTCGGCAAGAAAATTCTGTTGGTCAAATTTCTCTTCGTTTCGTGATGGAGAGGATAAAGTCTAGCCCTTTTTAAACCCTTCTACTAGAAGTTTCGGTCCTCGGGGGCTTTGCAGCAAGGCGCAGAAATGCTACAGGCCTAGTAAACATGGGACAAAGCTGGATTCCGCATTCAAGAGTTGGCTGCAGTTCTGCTCGTGTGGGCCAAGGATTCCATGGAGTCGTCCTAAAGCATCCCAAACAGCAACTTATAGTTATTGAGAAATGCTAATTCCTCTAATATTATTTAATTGCTTAAACGTCCCGAAATTTCCTGTTTGGGGACAGGAGACGCCTCCGCGGAAAACGCACGCTGCCGGGAGCGACAAGTCATTGGTTACATCATGCGGGACTGCGCTGTGAGAGGTGGGGCCAACGGGCGATGAAAAGTTCCCGTATGTGAGTGTTGAGTTTTCAATTAGGTCCGCATTCGATGTATATAAGGGTGTTGCCGCCGGCCCGTCTTCAGTTTTAACCACTCTCCCCGCTTTCTCTTTCGCCATGTCCGGACGTGGCAAAGGTGGGAAAGGGCTGGGTAAAGGAGGCGCTAAGCGCCATCGGAAGGTGCTGCGTGATAACATCCAGGGCATTACTAAGCCGGCTATTCGGCGGCTTGCTCGGCGTGGTGGAGTAAAGCGCATCTCCGGCCTTATTTACGAGGAGACACGCGGAGTTCTGAAGGTATTCTTGGAGAACGTAATTCGTGATGCTGTAACTTACACAGAGCACGCAAAGCGCAAGACTGTAACAGCCATGGACGTGGTCTACGCTCTAAAGCGGCAGGGTCGGACCCTGTATGGATTCGGCGGCTAAACCGCTTGTACCCCATCCGGCTCCCTTATTAACCAAAGGCCCTTTTCAGGGCCACCCACATCTTTCTGTAAAAAAGCTAGCAACTTACGCTCTGGTAGGTCAATGCAAAATGTGTGAATATCTTAATTCTGTTCGCGTTTGTTACATTGCCTAGCCTAAGACACACTTAAGATTTCTCATGCTGAATTTTTGCCTCACTCAACTTTTAAGCCCAGAACGGTGTTTAATGGGAAGTCCCTGAAAGGGAATCTGCTGCCGCACTCAAAATGGCGGGAAGTGCTAGAACAAAGAAATGTCTCCTGGTGGCGAATCTGAAACAAAGGCGAACGTGTTAAGTGGACTCCAGGCGGCTAGTATGTTGCTTCTTTGAACTAATCTCTAAACTATTGTGGTAAGAGTTGCGAAACCTAGCACGAACAGCTTGCTAGTATTTCGCTTAAGGGATGTTTTTCACTTTATTACAGAAGCATTAGTTAGACAACATTAATGAACTGTTAGGTCTCCAAAAAGGTTTTGGGACCTCCCAAACTGTTAGGTCACATCTCGGGACCACCAAAAATGTTGGGTCACACTCCCAACTGGGGGTGTGGGTACGGGTGCCTGGTGTGCGATCCGGTGCCATGTGACAGATGCAAAGAATTGCTCAGAAGTTAAAAAGTATTAGAAGCCGGGCTCGGTGGCTCAGCCTGTAATCCCGCGCCTTTGGGAGGCTGAGGTGAGTGGATTGCCTGAGCCCGCGGGTTCGAGACCCGCCTGGGCAGCGAGACCTCATCTCTACAATAAATTAAAAAATCAGCCGGGCGTGGTAGCGCGTGCCTGTAATTCCGGCTCCTCGGAAGCCTGAGGCGGAAGGATCGCCGGAGCCCAGCAGGTCGAGGCTGCGGTGGCCGGGAGCGGCCACTGCATTCCAGTCTGGGCGACAGAGTGAGACTCCAACTAAAAAAAAAAAAAAGTATTAGAAAGTAAACTGGAGAAAGAGGATTCACCTCCCCACTGGAGGGAAGGGAGCCAAAGCATAAAAAACACGGCCTAGCCATAGCTCGAAAAGTACATAGCCGCAATGGCATGACGATGCCGCTTTTTGTTGGTGGCTGAGTCAATACGATCCTTCCCTTTGATGGGAGAAGATCTTAGTTGTGGACATCCAGAGTGTTTGATATGCCTGTTACATATCTAAGAGGATGATATGAAACAAGCAGATAAATCTTAAATGTAGGGAAGAGGTCTGGGCTGGAAACAATGGAGAGTGGTTATCTTGTAACTGCCATAAGAGTTAAAAGCTTTCATATGAGATGATATCTCTCAGGAAAAGAGGAACGGAAGTAGAGGCACTACAAGGACTGAGCCCCTAGGTCAGAAATAAGGAATGTTGGCTTTGTATTCAAGACATGTGTGTTCCTAACTTAGCGTTTTACAAGTGCTTTCTCCAGTAATTCTCCCTTTGTCCTGAAATTCTCAGAACACACAGAATTAATATCTGTATTTTACAGATGTAGAAAAATACCTGTTAGGTCTCTATGTGGAACCTCCAAAACGAGGACTCCAGAATGTTAGGTCAGACCTACTGGGCATGTGGGATGTCTGGTGTGTGATCCGGTGCTGTGAGGAAGATGCAAATAATTGCACAGAAGTTAGATTAGAAAATATAGTTTATTTAGAAAGTAAATTGGAGAGACAGAAAAAGAGGAGATTCACCTCCCCAAGGTAGGTGAGGGGGCCAAAGCCAGGAAACATGGCCTGGCCCTAGCTCAAAGAGCACATAGCCACACCACATCTTCGCAAGGCAATGGCCAAGGCTGCTCATGGTTGGAGTCCTCTTAACCCTTCCCTTTGATGGGGAAAGGTCATTAAGGTGATTGGATGGCGGTCTGCTCCACGTCATCATGAAGGAACATGTAAACCCAGGTACTGATGTCACGTGAAGGAGAGCAGACGATGGGTGGTTGTGGGTTAGATGGGAGTAGACAAGGGGGTTTTTCCTGGAAAAGATCTGTCAGATGTTTAATCCGCAAGCTCCTTAGCTGCCTTCCACAAGGACCCTGAAAATTTCTTAGAGATTATTATGCTAAACCATGAATTGACAGGTTGGACTGTCCTTGTCTTGCATCTGATGGAGATTTGCCAAGGGGTGGGGTAGGTTGCTAGCTTGGCCTGCAGTAAAATGTCTGACCACCTCCTAAAACCTGCCTATTGGCAATTTATCTATGTCTAACCTGTGCTAGATTCAAAGCATGCCAATCTAAGCAAAAATGGTTATGCTGAGGCAAAATGTTAACTAAATTTATTCTAAGTTTCTCCGGGTCCCTCCTTTCAATACCCTTAGTCATAAAAGCACGCAGTAAAATTGGAATTCTCGCTCAAACAATCTATTAATGTTAAAGACATAAGATCACTTTGGGAACCCAGTAATAGATATCCACACCCTTGCCAAGATATACCCACTCTCCTAACATATTTTGCATGTAATTCCAGGAATTAGCAGGCCTCCTGAAACCTATCTGTGGAATTCATCCTATATCTGATGCTGCCTTTTTTTTCTTTTTTCTTTTTTTTAGCTTAGCTCCTCCTGTTTGCTCTGAGAAGATGGACCCTGAGAATGAAAATCACTAATTGTGTTGATGTTTCCCTGTTGCTGTGGAGATACTCTCCTATGTGTTGATGATGTTGAAATTACATTACTATCTCACAGGTTTCCCTTAAACTCCAGACTCCGAGATCCTGCCACCTACTTGAAATCTGTACTTGAAAGTCCAATTAATATGCACTTCCAATCTAAGTAGGCCTCAAACAGAATTTTTGATATTGTATCTGCAAATGCAACTCCTCTTATCTTTTGTAAATTGACTAATGGAATTTCTACCCCTTTCAATTGGTATCATTTTTGTCTTTGTTTTTCTTTCACACTCTATATCAAATGCATAAGTAAGTCCTATCAGTTCCACCTTGAAAAAACACATAAAATTCCCATTTCTTATTCCCACTGCTATGCCTGTGGTCAAGCCAATGGTATCTCTTACCTTTATTTTTGGAGCACCCCATAGTCTGGTTCTGTTTTTTCTTCTTTTCTCACAGCAGCCAGATGAATTCCAATACATGCCAAATCTGATCAGATCATTCTTCTACTGAAAACCATCCAACGGCTTTCATCTTTGTGGCCTCAACTCCCACTACTCTTTCTCTCCTTTCTAGCTCAGCTCCACCAGCTTCTAGAACTTGCTCAATGTAGTAAACTCTCTCAGGAACTATGTACTGACAATGACCTTTGTGTATGTGTAGGTTACTCAGCTTCCAAATCTCTGCAGGTATTGCTCCCTAACTTTCTGCAGATTTGTATTCACCTATCATTCTCTTGGAGAGCCTATTTGTGACCACACTGCTTAGCATTACAAACAACCTTCCCCAACCCTTCTGTCCTGTTTTTCCCTGCTCTTGAAGAGCCAGCAGTCTATTTGAAGAGTCAAAATGTATTCCCATGAAAAGCAAAATAGGAATGGAATATAATGTAGAACATCAGAAAATAGTGTAATTCATGTCAATAATTGTTGTGTGGACAAGTGTCTCAGTTTCAGATTTTCAAGACCTGATGCTAATGACTGGAATGTTGACTTTAGTCTAGAAAACTTAGAACCATGCATAATCCTCCCTGCTTCCCCAGTTTTGATTATGAAACAATTCTCTAATCTTTTACAAAACAAGCTCTTACAGTGAGCATATTGAGCTTAAATTATGTGTTTACTGTATGTGAACAAGTGCCTGAATATGAATAAAATAAATAAATTTATAATTGAGAAAAGTTACAATTGAGAAAATGAAATACTTCAGTCTACATGAAGTTTTTTTTTTTTTGGCCTGACAGGGAAAAAAAAAATGTTTCAAGAAGGATCCCTTATAAAACAAGTCATGTATATTAGCAGCAATTTTTGTGAAGTATCATGCCAGTCTGGACATCTACAGACATTTGGAATACATGGGGTGATTTTCATTTTTATAATTAAATGCCTATTTATTTATTTGTTTGTTTGTTTGTTTGTTTGTTTTGAGTTGGAGTCTCACTTTGTCACCCAGGCTGGAGTGTATGGCACAATCAACACTCACCACAGCCTAAATCTCCTGGTCACAGGCAATCCTTCCTCAGCCTCCCAAGCAACTGGAACTAGAGGCATACACCACCCCTCCTGACTAATTTTATAACCAACTTTCTAATATAGGCAACATTTAATAGCTTATGGAATTTCTGTCTTTCACTGGAAGATAAAGTGACTTTTCCACTAATATATTTGTACCTTGTTGCTTTTTGGCTTAAAAATTTATAATTCTAGATACAAATAAAATAATATTTAAACTCACATACAAGATAGAAAAGAGAATATGATGGCCATGCTTGAGCCCAATTACCAACTTGGTATAACAAATATTACCAATAACTGCTTTGACTTAATCTCTTATCTTCCTGCGATTCCCCCCAAAAGTAACCATAGTCCTGATTTATTTCATTTTCTAGTCTCAAAAATCCCTTATGTATTTCTGACCCTTACAGTCACATTTCACTATTTTGATAAACTTCCACTATTTGATCCTCTTTGAGGTCACTAGGGCATTATTTTATAAACAATAACATATTCTAGGGGTCATATGAATAATTAGGTGGTTCACAAATAATTCTTAGTCTTTTTTTGCTTTTTATTTTATGCTAGGATATTTTTCTTTTGCCTTGTTTTTAAATTAGCTTAGTAAGGAATTGTATCTTAAAAAATATTGTATTTATTTTCTGACTACCAAAGTTCTAGCATAATACTTGGTACATAGTTGGTACTCAAAAATTATTTGTTGGATTAATTACTTTCATTTTCCTTAACATAGAACAGAGAAACTTGGAGAGAAAATAATCTGAGAGAGAAACTCCTATTTCTTTTTTTTTTTTTTTTTTTTTTGAGTTGGAGTATAACTCTGTCGCCCAGACTGGAGTGCAGTGGCCGCTCCTGGCCACCGCAGCCTTGACCTGCTGGGCTCCAGCGATCCTTCCGCCTCAGCCTTCCAAGTAGCCAGAATTACAGGCATGCGCTACCACACCCGGCTGACTTTTTGATTTATTATAGAGATGAGGTCTCGCTGCCCAGGCGGGTCTCAAACCCTCGGGCTCAGGCAGTCCACTCACCTCAGCTTCCCAAAGGCGTGGGATTACAGGCTGAGCCACCGAGCCCGGCTTGAAACTCCTATTTCTTAACCATGCCATTGGGAATCTTGGAGACTTTCAAATAAACTTTAGAGGAGCTCCTCTTCTCACCCAGAAGACTCTACCAACACTCTTAACATTTGGCTTTATACCTTTTAGTCATTTTTTTCCCCTGTGACTATATTACATTTCTGTATAGTCTAATGTAATATAAATGATACTCTAATACTATAAATGACACAAGAAATATATATATTTTATGTTGTTTCTCTTTTGTATATTATGTTTAATAGCTGTATAATATTTCTTTATGGATAAAACCTGTTTTTATCCAAACTCCTACTCTTCAACGTTTATGTATCCAGTTTTCAGCAATAATAATAAAAAATATGGACAATAATAGAATGAAATAATAAGTTAGAGTCAGTAAGACTGTATTTTACTAAATATATGCAGAAAAAAAGGTAGTAGTCTAGAATGGGAACTAGATTTAAACTTAGCTGAGTAAGTAGAGCTGCGGAGAGTATAATACAAAGAGAGCTTGGTCATGCTGAGTTGGAGATGCCTGTGGAATACTTAGTTTGTTTAGTATTTAGCCTTATCACCATACATCTTGGCATGGGCTTAAAATTTCTGTCAGCTCTCTAAACTCACGTGTTGAAGTCCAACACCTAATACCTGAAAATGTGACTTTATTTGGAGATAGGGTCTTTAAAGATGTATTTTATCTGACTAGGGTCCTTACAAGAGAATGTTAGAATACAGACATGCACAAAGAAGAAAAACTATGCAAAGACACAGGGAGCAGACAACCAGAAGTCAATCATGTTCACAGGGTTGATCTCTAGTTTCCACAATTGTAAGAAAATACATTTGTTTAAACCACCAGTCTGTCATATTTTGTTATGCAACCCTAGCAAACTAGTACAAGTCTCAAACATTTTAATTCTGGGATTATTTTTCTCTAGATATGTTCAATATTAAACTTGCTTCTCTACCCCAGAATGACAGACAAATACACAGAACACAGATTTACACCCACAAATAGTGTATGTTGTAGGGGAAAACAAAATCATTTTGTTCTTTTACCTATTTTAGGTTCATTGGCTGGGACCCCATAACAAAAAACAGACTGACAACAACAAAAAAGCATGCATATGTATTAGTGTAATTATTGCATTGCATGGGGCACCTTCACAAGGGAATTAAGACCTGAAGGGGTTAAACCTGAGTGTTTTAATACTAGGTTTGTTTAAAAGTAGAGACTTGTGGAAAAAAAAAAAAGAAAATAAAGTATGAACTTAGGGTAATAAATAAAGAGAAACCTAGCAAGGTCCTATTCAGATTCCTCTCAGACTGAACTACAGGAGGGTCTTATGACCTGCTTTGAGGGAGAAAGGTGGAAGGCCAGGGGGACCTTCCTGTCCATGTCCTTTGGTTTCTCAAATTCCATTGCTTACAATAGTGTGAGGGTGCCATATTAGGGACAGAATGTTCTGAATTCCATCAGTACACACACTGCTCGTAGGTAGGAGATAGTGACTTTTTTATACTTACTAGACTAGTAAGTTAAAAAACACACACAGAAAAAATGAACTTTTACAGGTTTACGTAGTCAATGCCCATAATCTTCCTTCCACAACAGTGCTCAAAAACGTTAAATGTGTTACCCTGTGATCTTTTAGGGCCCAAAGACCACTTTTTTTCTTCTTCTTTTGTGAAGAAAACTTGCTGGTGTAAGGCTTTTGCTGTGCAACACATAATACGTGTATCTCCCAACCAACTTTTTTCTCTTATTCCAATGGAGCCTACATTTCCCTACTTTTGATGTCAACTAACCTGACAAAGCATCCTTAGAATCAGAGGACTTTGGAAGACTCCAGATTTCCATCTGGCTATTCCACATTAAGAACAATGGGATGGGCAACCCCCTTGGGTCCCCTCCCACTGTGGGAGCTTTTCTATCCTTTCAATAAATCCTGCTTTCCCACTTTCCAGCCACTCATGTCCCCATTCCACCTGGACATGAGACAAGAACCCCCATCTGAAGAGCTGCAGAAGATCGTCAGAGTCGAGAGTCGTGCACCCCGGAGGCTGGCTTGCCAGCTGATGGAGCCGGCTGAACTGGGAAAGCTGCTGAAAGAAAGCGAGATTCTGAAACTGAGACACTTCTGGGGACTGCAACACTCTCAGGGCTTGGCTTGCCAGCTGATTAGAGCCAGCATTTCTGGAGATAGGCTTGGAAGCCCGTAGAGCTGACCCTCTCGAAGCCCGGGCTGACCTGAAAAATTCGTATCATTAGCAGTGCTCAGGAAAATTGCTTATCATAACTGTAATAAACCAAGAGAACCAGAGACATGGGGGGGGGGGGGAAGTGGGATTATGAAACGAATAACCCTTCGGAGGTGTCATAGGTGAAAGAGAGGGTATGGTTTTACTTAAAACCCAGAACATTAGCCAATTAACCCTTTAGTAGCTATTATGTAGTGTAGGGGGGCGCTACCATTTCAACCATATATACATTTGCTCTCTAGGAATTAAACCGTAAACGCACCTATTTTTACTTTATTATGTTATATTGAAAACCTAGAGTTATCATAGGTCTTTACAAATACATGGGTGATACTTAGCTGACTACCATAAATATCTGACACGTTACTAAGGAGCTAGTCACCACGATAAATGTGTGGATGCAGAAAAGCATTAACCGTCTTGACATCAAACATTTTTCCTAACATAACGGAAGCACAGCAGCGTTAAAGCTCTTACTTGAGAAGGAGAGTGGCTCTGAAAAGAGCCTTTGGATTCAACAGCAACTACAAACATATTTACTTGGAGCTAGTGTATTTGGTGACAGCCTTGGTGCCCTCGGACACAGCGTGCTTGGCCAGCTCCCCGGGCAGCAGCAGGCGCACGGCCGTCTGGATCTCCCGGGAGGTGATGGTCGAGCGCTTGTTGTAATGCGCCAGGCGCGACGCCTCGCCGGCGATGCGCTCGAAGATGTCGTTGACGAAGGAGTTCATGATGCCCATGGCCTTGGACGAGATGCCGGTGTCAGGGTGGACCTGCTTCAACACCTTGTACACATACACTGAGTAGCTCTCCTTACGGCTGCGCTTGCGCTTCTTGCCGTCCTTCTTCTGCGCCTTGGTGACCGCCTTTTTGGAGCCCTTCTTTGGAGCAGGAGCGGATTTGGCTGGCTCGGGCATTGTCGACGAGAAAGAAAAATAAAAAAACAAGAGGAAACAAGGCTACTAAAAGCGATTGGGACTAGAATCTCTCTTTTTATAGAACCTTTATGCAAATTTGGGATTGAAACATACACATTTGATTTGATACTCAGTAAGTGACGATACTTATGTAAATATACAGTCATATTTCCTTTCCTATTGGTTACTTTTTCAAAAGGGATTATTAACCAATCAAAACACGACTTTTACAATTCCACCCAACACTATAACTAGCTTCTTATTCCGCGTCAGAACACAGTCTTTTTGGCTACTCCTTTGGCTGTTATTCCTTTCGCTGTTGCGGTGTCACTATGTCTGGGCGCGGCAAGCAAGGTGGCAAAGCTCGGGCTAAAGCCAAAACGCGTTCTTCTCGGGCTGGTCTTCAGTTTCCAGTGGGGCGTGTGCACCGCCTGCTACGCAAAGGCAACTATTCGGAACGCGTTGGGGCCGGCGCACCGGTTTATTTGGCAGCGGTACTGGAGTACCTGACCGCTGAAATACTAGAGCTGGCGGGCAACGCAGCTCGCGACAACAAGAAGACACGCATCATCCCACGCCACCTGCAGCTAGCCATTCGTAACGACGAGGAGCTCAACAAGCTGCTGGGCCGCGTAACCATCGCGCAGGGCGGCGTCCTGCCCAATATCCAAGCAGTGCTGCTGCCCAAGAAGACTGAAAGCCACCACAAGGCTAAGGGCAAATAAAATGCTTAGCAGTCCACCAGTGATCCTGAATGCAGGAAATCAAAGGCTCTTTTCAGAGCCACCCACTTTTTCTATAAAGCGCTGAGATACGACTTCTGCAAACCTTCAAGTCTTTTAATTCCAATGAAATTTAGCTCATTATAGCTTTAGCCTGTGGAACATTTAACTTGTGAAAAATTGTTCGGATTCTTCCCCCAAGGAGGTCCTTTAATTCTTAAGTATTTCCTTCGCCAAAAACACTTCCGGCGAGGGCAACTAGGTTAGTGGCGATGCCGTTCTAAAATCACAAAGTGCGTCTATAAACGCACACACAAACTGGAGTCTGCTAGAGGGTTTGGAATTCCGTCTCACGGAAGCTATGCTGCAAGCTATGTAACAGCAATAGAGATTTTAACGCCATAGTTTACATGTACACATAATTATGCATACGCTGTTTATTCGTGTAGACTTAATGTCAGAGAAAGCTGGAACATGAATACATAAAAGAGAGAACAAAGACGAATAACTGGCCAGTAATGGTTCAGGGCGGGCTTTTTAAATTTTAGAGATGATGGAATGCCCATCCTGAGAATTGTGTTAAAAATGATTGATTTCCCCCTTTCGTAAAAATGCAATTAGCATATTACTCTAAGATCAACACTAAATGAAACCGCGTTTATCACCTAAATTCTAAAATGGGCTCTACAGGAAAATTGATTATTCAACTTTAATGGTAATCCGGTCACATTTCTCTGGAAAACAATCGGAATACTAATTAGATCTAGTTTCAGAACCATATACTTTATCAATAAAAGCTGTTGTCATGCACTCGCTTATTTTTCCTTCTCTAACTTGATGGGGGTAAAAAATGTTCAATGAATTTTTAAAAATTGGAATGATGAGTACATTCATGAATTTATCTAACAGGATATCGTATGTGAGTCTCAATAATTAGTGTAATGGTGTACGGTGTGTGATATTAGAAATTTTAGAACCCCAGGGAGGCATTTAGCTAACAGTCTGCAATGGCTTCCAAGCAACAATCACAATAAAACTTTCAGTACTGCAAATAAACATATTCTTACAACTTCCTTAGTGAGTTTGGAAGCTGATTTTTCCCCCCAAAAATGTCAAAGAAACCTCAGCTCCAGTTAATACTTTGCATTCTTACAAAGGATCCAGTTAAGCCAAAGACAGACAACAAGAACTTCAAGATAACACATGTATGTTGTATGAAGTCACTAAATTTGTGATAATCTGTTATGCAGCAATACTAGCTAATACAGTTAGCTAACACATTTGGCATGTTCACAAATCTACTTTTTATGCAAAATAACAGACATAATAAATCAAAATTGCAATCTGTATCTACTGTAAGGCTTACAGATATAAATGCATATTTTCTGTGATGTGAAAATTCTGTTTTACAATTATGACACCCTCTATACATACACCTACTACTTCTGGACTGGCACAAATACTGGTCATGACTTGCTGGTTTCCCTAATAGAAAACTATCAAGCCTTGATATGATCAAATAAAAACAAAAAATTAAATCATTTTGCTTTTAGCAATACAAGTAAAAATGGTGTACTTTTGAGACATTGGCACATGAAACTAATAGATTTGTATCTGTATCAATTGTGCTTCCAGCACTTACAGATTTTTATTGTTTTCTGTTTAAATGAATAAGAAACCACAACCTGAAGGCAGAGGAAAAAAAAAGCAGAAAAAAGGGTGAGGGACAAAATTAGGGTTTTAAAATGTATATCAGCACTATGCAGGTAAGGTTATATCAATAATAACCTAAAGGCAGGCATAAAATGAAGTAGACAATAAAACTTTTCTTTTAAATTAAATGTGAAATATTACCTTGGTAAGAGTTAACAATCGCAGTAAGTAGTAGTAAGTAATCAGAAGATAAGACTTTTAGGTCCCGGAACAAGAACTCTCCCAGGTCAAATCCAGTATCAACTGTATAATTAACATGTCATCTCTACAATTTTTAATATAATTGTGAACAATAGGTTTTCAATTTAAAAAGCACACATAATTATATTGTATTATAGTATGGGTATCATATATGAAGCAAAACAACTGTGGTACAACTTAAGCATTAAACAACTTTGAGCTCCACAAATATCCACTGTATGATTATCATTATTTAAAGTCTTTAAAGACTAAAAACAAAAACTCCTAACCAAACAATAATATAAATCTTTAGACCTTTAACACATTGCCTATTGTACACAATTAGATTACAAATTCCTTACTGCACTGAAAAGTTCAAATAAAGCACTCACACTGTCATAGGGTATTTTAGATTTTTTAAACAGATTAAATCATAATGAGTGACAATGTACCTACAAAATGCACTAGAAATATCTTCCTATTACAATATTCAACGTGCAAAAGTGAGTGGCTTTAGAAAAAATATTTGAAGAGTAAGACCTAGAAAACTTGGAACCTGTGTATTTGATGACAGCGCTCATACCCCTCCACCCCCCACAACCAGACAGCAGGCATGGCCAACACTGCGGGCAGAAGCAGAAGCAAGGCTTTCTGAATATCCCTGATGGTTGAGTACTCTGAGAAATTCGTATTTGTGGCCTTGGACGATATGCCAATGTCATCGTGAACCTGCCTCAGAACCTTACAGACTAGTTTTCCAATAGAAAAGAGAAAATTAGGTTTTACCACAAGGATGCGTACATTCTATTTCTTTCCGTAATATTGAGCACATATAAATATGCATACAATTGTGTACATCTAAACTCTGATTAGTCTAAAATAGCCAATAGATTAAAAGTATGTAAATTAGGAATCACCAAACTGCTTTTCTCATTGGCTAGAAAAAGGAAACTTTTCAGAAAATGCAATTGGTTAATTTAGAATACTGCCTTATGTTATAATTTCAGTCTCGACGAATCCTAATCATCAAATGTCATTTTTTAAACGTTGGAAGTAATTGTAAACTGTCGCATTTACACGTGAAAACCAAAAGAAAAGAAAAACGAAATCTGTCATCTGGATGAGTCCAGTCTCTACAAAATTTTGTTGGATGTGCCATAAATTGTCCACGTCTCTCGCGCAAGAATCCCGAGAAGCTGCGCCATTGTAGTTTAAGGAAATACCCTCAGAAGACGCTCTTTGCCGCCATCTTTTCCGAGGTTCTACATTGCAAATTTTTTTTTTTTTTTTTTATGGCTCTTGCCATTATCCCCTGCCAGACAGAACAAAATAAAAGCATTAAATTCTCCATTTGCGTCAAACAGACACTAAGAGTCAGGGATTTAAGAATATTAGAATTTTGCTTCACCCAAAACGAAACAAAGTTCTTCACGATTAAACAGTATATCTTGGAATTCATGTTGCAGTGAATCAGTTACGTACTCTAAGTGCAATAAAATTACAACTCGTCAAGAGACGCTTAGACAATAGATTTTTAAAAGTGGGTAAGGAAGGGGTATACCACTCGAAATAAAAACAGCTTTATTTACCAGAAAAAATGGCGGGTGCTTTGAAAACAAATTCTACAACACTTTCTCTTTCAAATACACCTTAGTTTATTATACGCACACGAAATAAATTTTAAGAATATTAAGTCATTCACATTTTTGTGGCTCAACTAAAATCTGTAAAACGTTATCAAAGAAACTAGAAAATAATCTTTAAAAAACAGCTAGCCGAATAAATGAAATTTACCAATCACATACTTGCCCCGAAAGAATAGACCAATCGTAAAAAGTTCCGATCACTTCCGGAATTTAGGAACTGATGACTAACAGGAATTGCCCACAGTCCAATCAGAATGACTGTTTCTGTATAAATAGACGAGGAAGCCCATTATCCTAGTCTCTTCACTTAACAGGTGACCTATGGCACGCACCAAACAAACTGCGCGCAAGTCCACCGGCGGGAAGGCGCCGCGCAAGCAGCTGGCCACCAAGGCGGCCCGCAAGAGCGCCCCGGCCACCGGCGGCGTGAAGAAGCCCCACCGCTACCGGCCCGGCACCGTGGCCCTGCGCGAGATCCGCCGCTACCAGAAGTCCACCGAGCTGCTGATCCGCAAACTGCCGTTCCAGCGCCTGGTGCGCGAGATCGCGCAGGACTTCAAGACCGACCTGCGCTTCCAGAGCTCGGCCGTGATGGCGCTGCAGGAGGCCTGCGAGGCCTACCTGGTGGGGCTCTTCGAGGACACCAATTTGTGTGCCATTCACGCGAAACGCGTCACTATTATGCCCAAAGACATCCAGCTCGCTCGCCGCATTCGTGGGGAGAGGGCGTAAGTTTTTCTGGGTGTCACCATTACAACCAAAGGCTCTTTTCAGAGCCAACCACTTTCTCTATGAAAACTGGCCGTAACACTAAAAGTTGGTAAGGTTTTTCCCTGACTCAAACTGGTTTTCTGGGTACTGAATGGTTCACGGTCCACGGAAATGTTTCTAAGGATTAGGCGATCGCTTTCCTGTTTTGCTTATACTCTGCCTTTATTGGCCCAGGCCTCCATAGGTCTGATAGGAATGATCTTCAACCTTGACCGGTCCCTCTCTGCTGCCTTTGGTTTGTTGCTGTCAGTTTGAATCTGGACATTTGGGGCGCCTGTTTCCCCTTTCCCCATCGTGGCTTTCTAATCCTTGGAATTCTGCCAGAGAATGGCATGTGCTTTCGGGCTTGAGTCCGCAAGGCCTTCATACCCTTGGACTTTGTTTTTTCAGATGTTTGGTGGTCTTGAAGTAGCGTAAGGGGTCAATGCTTTCGGTCTACGTCGGAGTGCCCTTGCTTCACTAGGGGTTTGAGACCCAGCTACAGCTACTGCATGGCAACCGTCAGTAGCATGGGTGCGGTTAGGGATCTCTGCTCCCGTCATACTAGACCCAGGCTTAGCTCATTAGCTGGAACACCTAAGGACCCGTAGTACTGACCGCTATTGTGGATTTGGCAGTCTTCACCAGGTCTAAACTGCTAGAGCCAAAGCAACTAACGTGATACACCCGAGTATGAATGATGAACACAATTGATGCGCCTTTTCAACTTCCCGGCTGACACCCCTAAAGGAAGTTTTTCAGCTTTCCTAAATCCTTGTCTTAATCTCCAAACAAACGTTAATGAAACTACCTCACGTTCATCATGAAAATCCTTTGACACCAAGTATTCATCCCTTGCTGTTTCACCCTTACAAACGCTCAATTTATGCCATATTAAACTGATAGTTCCTTCCCATAAAAGTAAGTTTCCCTACGACTTCTAAACTTGTAACTGAAGGGAAAGGAGATAAAGGAATTCTGAATCTATGGAAGCTGTTATTTGGAAACGAGGAAAGGTAAGTTTAGTATTTGGGATAATAAATATGCTGTCTGGAAGGATTTTCTTTTTAAACATTTCAGCAAGCTCCTCGTTTTACAAATGGGGTGGGGTATCTAATAATAATTGAGGTTTCTATTTTTTTTTTTTTATTAAGATGTGCTGTTTTCCCTTAAGTATCACTAAGGAAAGAAGTTATTCAAGGTGGTAAAATTAATAGTGAAAAAGCTATAAATGGATAGGTACAGACCAAGGTAGCCATAGTAAGAAGTCCTGGAAATTCCACGGAATAAATGTTCGTGCTTGGAAGCATGTCCATAATTAAACTAACGAGAGTCTGAGATATTTGTAATATAGTGACTCCCTATTTTGTATGAAGGCATTCTATGTTTGACTATTGTATTCTGTACTTTCTTTGAGACGAGCACAGTCAGTTTTTAACCTGTTTCTGCCTCACACAGGTGATACACTTCAAGACATGTGGAACTAGTGGTCAAAGAAGCACATTGTTATATCATTAAATCCACCAGAACATCTAGCATTAAGAAAGTTTCAAATAAGTATACATGCCAAATTTTTCTTATTAGGCATTACTACTGTAAACAAACAGTATCAACATAATCCTCATCACCTTTATCATCTGGAAGAGCTACCAAAGACTGACATGTTTATGTTAACACATTCTTAATTTTTTATGTATAATTTTTTAAAATTGGATTTTGAAACTTACAGTATTTTGTATGACCGTTATATTACACTATAATTGTTACAGAAAGTTGCATAGAAATGTAACTGACATGTGGCAGGAGGCGGCATATGCTCAAATATATTTCTTGTGTGATTGAGTGAATAAACACAGAAACACATGTGGCTGATTCGGGATCAGCAATTGGCCTCACCTGGGCTGCCACTAGCCCAGCGGCAAGAATGAAAGGTTGATAGCAGTTAAAAGGTATTTCCTTTTGAAAGGCAAGTTGCAACTTTAAAGGCCTGTCCGGGCACCAGGCAGGTTTTGTTTGGGAAAGGCCAAATAGCCCAAAGACTAGCCATTTAATGGATACGCAAAAAGAGTGGCTAATTCACAGGCTTATCTGAAGCGAACGGTTTACAATCCTGCAGTTCCTGGAAACCATTTGTTCTTTGAAAAATCTGATTTTGCTGAGTACAACCTTGTAAGATTCCAAAGGAAATATGTAATCACTCAACACGACCCCCTCCCTTACCTAAACGAGGGTATAAGATCCCAGGTCACCTGTTCTGGGGTGCTGGAGCTTGATTTGAATGCATGAAGTTCTTGGGCCCGCTGTGCTGTGCTAGCCAGCGTAATAAAGTGCCACTTCCTATAAGTCTCGGTGTCACGATCTCTCTATTTTTCCTGCTACAGACACACATACACAAAAGTATAATATTAACACTGACAAAATCTAGCCTTTCTGTCTATCCTTCAAGCAATGGTCTTAATGGTTTAGCCACACACACACAATTTTTTTTCTTACATTAAAAGGCATACACTGGCCATTGGTTTGGTAAACTCTGGTGTGTGGCATGTGGCTCTTTGAGCTATGGCCAGGCCATGTTTCCTAGCTTTAGCCTCCTCCCCTACCTTGGGGAGGTGAATCTCTTCTCTTTCTCTCTCCAAATTACTTTCTAAATAAACTATATTTTCCAAGCTAATAAATTAATTAATTAATTAAAGGCATACACTGAGATAGTAGCGTTTGCTTACAACCTTCTAAAAATAAATTTGTGATTTATTTGAGGAAGATCACAAAACTGACTCTTATTATAGTGGGAAGACAGAGAGACCGTGACACCAAGACTATTATAGGAAGTGGCAACTTTATTATGCCGGCAGGCTCCAGGGCTAATGCGTCCAAATCGAGCCCCCCAGAATGGGCGAAGTGGGGTCTTCTACCTTCGTTTAGGAAAGGGAGGGAGTCGGGTTAATCGATTACATATTTCCTTTGGAAACTTACAAGGCTGTACTCAGCAAAATCAGATTTTTCAAAGAACAAATGGTCTCCAGGAAATGCAAAGTGTAGAATTGTAAACTGTTAACTTTAAAAGAGGGTTCTGGATAAGTCTGTGAATTCGTTATTCTTTTGCATTTCCATGAGAGTCATCAGTCTCTGGCCATTTGGCCTTTTCTTTTTTTTTTTTTTTTTGAGTTGGAGTCTCACTCTGTTGCCCAGACTGGCGTGCAGTGGCTGCTCCCGGCCACCGCAGCCTCGACCCGCTGGGCTCCGGCGATCCTTCCGCCTTAGCTTTCCGAGTAGCTAGAATTACAGGCATGCACTACCACACCCGGCTGATTTTTTGATTTATTGTAGAGATGAGATCTCGCCAAGTTGCCCAGGCGGTTCTTGAATCTGCGGGCTCAGGCAATCCACTCACCTCAGCTTCCCAAGGCGTGGGATTACAGGCTGAGCCACCGAGCCTGAGCCACCAAACCTGCCATTTGGCCTTTTCAAACAAAACTGGCCTGGTAGATCTTTAGAGTTTGCAGTTTGACTTTCAAAAGGAAATACCTTGAACTGCTACCAACCCACCTTCCTGCCACATCATCATCAGATAATATTTTATATGTACCAGTTGGTACATCACATTGTATATTGATTTAAGGTTTACATGATTGCTTGCAAGACATACAGTTTTTAAAAACAAATACATGATTTCTGAATGATCAACAACTATATCTTATAGAAATAATAGCTAAAATCAAGACAATTCAGGGATTTTATTTTATTATTTCTTCATACACTCCCTACCCCATCTGGCCACTGTTAATATTGATATGTTACATCTGGAAGTGTTCACTGCAAAGGTATAACATTTTTGTTGTTTCTGTTTTGTAGTTACCCCAACTATAAATGACATACTTTGGAAGGTATTGTTTAGAAGATAAAAAAGATAGTAAATTAGGTCATGGAGTGAAGAATATTAAAGGGGTCAGAGAAATGTATTATTCATGGTTTCCTATGTAGAAAAACAAAAAATAGAATAACTTTAATTATTAATTAATTAATTTCTGGTGACTACCCTATTTGATAAAATTTTTTAAACTCAGTTATACACACACACACACACACACACACACACCAGAGTAGTGGGAAGCAAGACAAAAAAGACTAATCTTTTAGAGTTTAGTTCATGACAGAAATGAAGAGATACAATAGAATGCATTTTTTTACATTGATAATAATGGTACCCAACTATAAAATGTCCTGAAAGCACAGTATCAGAGATAACATAAAAATTTCGAGGACTTTGTGCATGGAGATGCAACTTAAGATGGAATTGAATGTGTAGCAGGAAAAATAGAGAGACCGTGACACCGAGGCTATTAAAGGAAGTGGCAACTCAAATATATTTCTTATATGATTGAGTGAATAAACACAGAAACACATGTAGCTGCTTCGAGATCAGCAGTTGGCCTCATGGCAATCACCTGGGATGACAAAATGTCTCCCACTAACCCTGTGGCAGGAAGCAGGGTTGGTAGCAGTTAAAGGTATTTCCCTTTGAAAGGCAAGTTGCAAGCTTTAAAGACTCGCCAGGTCGGTTTTGTTTGAAAGGGCCAAATGACCAGAGACTGATGGCTCTCATGGAAATGCAGAAGAGTAACTAATTCACAGCCTTATCCAAAATCCCCCTTCTGAAGTTGACGGTTTACAACCCTGCAGTTCCTGGAGACCATTTGTTCTTTAAAAAATCTGATTTTGCTGAATACAACCTTGTAAGATTCCAAGGGAAATATGTAATCACTCAACATGACTCCCTCCCTTACCTAAACAAGGGTATAAGACCCCACTTCTCCTATTCTGGGGTGTTTGATTTGGACACATTAGCTCCTCGAGCCCACTGTGCCGGCCAGCTTAATAAAGTGCCACTTCCTGTAATAGTCTCGGTGTCACAATCTCTGTCTTCCCGCTACAGAAGTATTGGAAAGATTCTCACAGATAGAGACAATTGCTGAAAGGTAAAGCTGTAAGAAAAGAATTTTTAAAAAATAATGAATAGAATGATTACTTTGAGTAGTTATTACTGCCTGTTAGTATAGCAGAAATTATTAAAAAAGAGGCTAGAATTTCACTTGAACTTAAGGCAATGGGAAGCCAATGATCCTTTTCACTAGGCATATTGTCTTATTGTCTTTGCAGAATGACCAGAATTTAGGAATTGGAGACAGGAGAAGTTAGAGTTAGAGGACTGCTTAGAAAGATGGAATCATCTCAACTGTGAAAGGATGAAAAGAGAGTGTAGAGAGTTCACAGTGTTTGTGAGAAGTCTAAAAATCACCTGGATTTAGTGACTGAGTGACAGGAATGGTTGAGGGCCCCACACAGTACTGTGAATATCTGTCTCCTCCATTTAAAAGGAGCCAGACAATTACAAAGCAGGAGATAGAAACGACTTCAGGCTAACCCTAAAAATTACTTGGTTTTTGTTGTTGTTGTTGTTGTTGTTGTTGTTGTTGTTTGTTTGTTTTTTTAAAGAGACAGGGTCTTAGTCTTACCCAAGGTGGAGTGCAGTTATGTGATCACAGTTCTCTGCAGCCTTGACCTCCTGGGCTCAAGCGATCCTCTCCCCTCAGCCTCCCAAAGTGCTAGGATTATAGGCATGAGCTACCACACTTGGCCTAAAAATTACTTTTGTCTCCTACCTATGCCACATGCATAAGTGTTCTCCAGCAGCTAAGATCATGTAAAAATGCCCTTCACAACTTCCATACTCAGACATCTTGAATCTTCTTTCTCCAACCTAAGCAGTTGTATAAGTGCTTTGTAAGCCTTGAAGAACTAGACATATATTATAGACACATGGATGGCTTTTATGGAATGCCGCATTCCTATATAATTCTATTATTCCTCATCGCTTTTCATCAAAAGCCTAACTTTCTTATTCTGGATATTAAAGCCCTCCCAGATCTCTTCCTCCTCTTGAAGCACACATTTTTTTTTTTTTTTTGAGTTGGAGTCTCTGTCACCCAGATTGGAGTGCAGTGGCCGCTCCCGGCCACCGCAGCCTCGACCTGCTGGGCTCCAGCGATCCTTCCGCCTCAGCCTTCCAAGTAGCTAGAACTACAGGCACGCGCTACCACACCCGGTTAATTTTTTATTTATTGTAGAGACGAGGTCTCGCCAAGTTGCCCAGGTGGGTCGCGAACCCGCGGCCTCAGGCAATCCACTCACCTCAGCCTCCCAAAGGCACGGGATTAGTGGCTAAGCCACTGAGCCCAGCTTGAAGCACATATTTTTAAAAAGAAGATTTCGGAAGCAAAACTCCTCTCTGACCTTCTCCTGTCTTCTGTCTTTGTCCCCTGCCCCTCATTATTCACCAAGGCTGGACACTTAAACTGGAATCCTTCTTCCCCAAGGTGGATCATAGAAACCAGAACCTCATTTCCTAAAAGTCAGCCATGATACCTAAAATGATTACTCTATCTTCTCACTCCAATATTCTGCATAAAAGTTAAACATAAATAAATGATCTGACCTACTTTGATTTACTGGGCCTTAAGAGCCCCATTCCATAAAGAATCCTGCCCTATACCCAGAAGGAAGGAATGCATGCTCATAAAGATCAAGAAGATTCTGAAAAGGCACGTCTTGCTACAGGGCTGTCTATACTTTGTCGAATCTATGCATAAAAATAGTTTCTCCTTATACCTTTGGGTCTTCATTCAGAAGGTTTCTGTGTCACATAAAATTATGATCAAATAAGTTTATCTGCCATTTATCTTATTAACCTGCCTTTTGTCAGTTTTCAGCAAACCTTCAGAAAGTGAAGGGAAAGTTTAGCTTGCTCCTTTATCCTTCCCACTCCATGACTCAATTTATTATTTTCAAAGATTATTTTGAGTATATTATCCAATGTATCTAGATCTTCTCAACCAAGCCACTCTCATACAGGGAGATGACTTTTTGTTTTTGTTTTCCAGAAAAAAGAAACTGTGGGAAGTAGCTGTAGTTCCCAAAGATTAAATTCCTGCTTTAGAAGAACTAGAAAGAGATTCACAGGCTGCATCCCTTTTTTTTTCTTGCGATGTTTAAATAGAATGTAAAATTTAATAAAGTAATGACCAACAAGGAGAATGTAAACAATAAGGAGAATGTAAAGCATTTTGATCATTAGGGCATTGGATCCCACTGGAGACCTGCTCAGGAGTTGATGAATTGTTTGTGCTTTGCACTCTGGAGATTCTATGGAAACTATAGACACCTTCTCAAAATTATGTCTTTATCTAAAAAGATACCTAAATTATACAACATAAGAAAAGTAGTGGCATTAAAATAGTTATTTCTGCTAAAGTATGTACAATATATACTTCTTTAGTAACACATCAAATAAAGTCCATCAGCAGGTATAATAGCAGATGATAGTTTGAAAGACAATTCTTGCAAACTTTATTTCAAGATACCTGCAATAACTGCAAAGTACACAAAAATACCTGTGATTACCATACCATAGATTAAAAAAAAAAGTCACAGGTACTGTGAAATCCAAGTAATTAGTTGCCTGTACTGACAAATGAAGTGCTAAATTACATTTAGTGTTGGTAGAAATAAAAATGCAATTTCCCCCCATCCACAGTCTAATAAACATCTGTAGGACTTATATTTTGTCAGGAATTGTCAGCAGAAATAAGAGAGCTTCCCAAAATCAATAACAAAAGAAAACCAAATCTCAGTGTCTGGCATGACGTGAAAATGTTAAGATACCCAAATCAACCTATCTTCCTACAGCCCATGTTCTTTGCCTTTTGTGACCCTGATTTCAGGCTCCTTGACTCCCTCTCAAAGGTTTTTCATCTGTTTCCCCCTCCCAATTCCTTATTTACTCACCAAATAGATATTGAACAACTATCCCTGGCTGTTCAGGGATTCAGATCCTCTCAATAACCTATGAGGAAGCAATATAGGAAAGAGAGATTATAAACTGCCAGAGATACATGTTCCATTTTCTGCAATTCCTTTAAATCGCGGTGGCAATAATTATGCAGATTTAAGCAGAATGATAACACAAATCTCAAAAGAAAAAACCCATTAATTTGAAAAGGAAAAAAAAAGCCTTTCAACTGCTTTCCAGTGTATACAAATATTAACATTGAAACCCCTGATTGGTGTATTTTCTACGCGGAAGGCCTTGCAAACATAGAAAGATACGTTCTGATTGGCTAACACATGAAGCTCCGCAAGCCAATGGCAAAGCGAGTTTTACAAAACTAGGCAAGAGACCATAACCCGTTCCTCCGATTGGCTTATTAATGTATCAAGTTTTTTCTAAGGTGACTGGGCGCGGGACTGAAGAAACTCACGCCAAGGCCAAGACCCGCTGCTCTCGGGACGGCCTCCAGTTCCCCTGGGCCGCGCACACCAACTTCTCTGCAGAGGCAACTGCTGCGAGCGGGTACCTGGCGCTGGAGAACCTGACAGCTCGGGTATCTCGAACTAGTGGGCAACGGGTGCCGCAACCATGTATGTGCATCATCCGGTGCCACCTACAGCCAGCCATCCGCAACGACCGGCTTAAGGAGCGACCATTGCGCAGGGTAGCATCCTAAACCCAATCTTATGTAGCCACCATCTTGCATCTAAATTCTAGAGGGCGCGCGACTACGCTGTAAAGCGTAACCCGATGGCCAATCAAACACAAGGGCGGGAGTTTAAAGGTAATCAGGGGTTCAGCTCTTTTGATAGAGATCTGTGGGGTGGCTCTGAAAAGAGCCTTTGAGATTTCCAAGGCAGGACGTCCCGTCAGCTTCACTTCTTCTTAGGGGCCGCCTTCTTTGCCTTTGTAACCTTCGGCTTAGCAGATTTAGGTTTGGCAGTCTTGGGCTTAGGAGCTTTGGCCTTAGCTGGACTCTTTGCAGCCTTCTTTGGCTTGGCTGCTTTCACTTTTTTCGCACTCTTACCCACTTTCTTGGCCCCAGCAGCTGCTGCAGGCTTCTTCGCCTTCTTTGGGGTCTTCTTGGCGCTTTTCTTCGGGGTAGCGACACCAGTTGCCTTCTTAGGCTTCTTGGCTGCTCCTGTGGGCTTTTTGGGCTTGGCTGCACTCGCCCTCTTAACCTTGGGCTTGGCTTCGCCGGAAGCCGCTCTTTTGTTGAGTTTGAAGGAGCCCGAAGCGCCGGTACCCTTCGTCTGCACCAAGGTGCCCTTGCTCACCAAACTTTTCAGACCAAGCTTGATGCGACTGTTGTTCTTCTCCACATCATAACCAGCTGCCGCCAGCGCCTTCTTGAGTGCAGCCAAGGAAACACCACTGCGCTCCTTAGAGGCAGCCACAGCCCTTGTAATGAGCTCAGATACTGGAGGACCAGACGCCTTGCGTTTTCCAGCAGCTGCGCCTGATTTCCTCACTTTTTTCTTCACAGGTGTTTTCTCCGTAGGTGCTGGAGCAGCAGGAGCAACTGGAGCAGTCTCCGACATATTTCTGTCTTGCCAGAAAAGCCAAAAGTTAGCTCCAACTGGCAGAATGGCGTGTCCTCTGCCGGAGGCTGAGGGTTTATATAGAGAGACGCTGAGTGTTGATTGGTTCCCTGGTCCGTGCGCCACGCTGCTGGAGAAGGGCTCCTCGGCTCTGCGGCGTGGCTGTGTTTGTTTCCCCTTAAAAAAGAGTAAAAACATTAAAAATCTGGGCATAAAATAATTAGGGATTTGGGGAAAACGGATCCGAGAGACCTTGGGCTTCATTCCTACTTCATTTTCTAAACCTACTTCCAAAACTGGCATCCTGAAACTTTCCTGATTCCCCCAACTCTCATTCAAACTTCAGGCAAATCCAGACAAGTTTCAGATTTTCCTTCAAAATACAATTTTTATTTGCTTCTTTTGCAAGTTTCTTTGCCAGAATATTGTTCTGCACATCCTTATCTTCTCAACTTTATATAAATATTCTCACTTTTACTTAAATGCATAGGGAAATTGGTGTTTTTCGCAGGAGCAATAGCACAGGCTCTCCGGAGATCTGTTTGCATCAAGCTTTAGGAATTGGCGCTCGGGGAGAAAGCTCTATGTACAAAAGGGATTGTTATTTTAGAAAATATGTACTTTTTCCAAAAAAGCATTTGAGTTAAAAGTGTGTAAACTGGACTTGACCTCCTTCTTTTAGTGATTTAAATATTTTCAGAAAGATAAGGGTAAGTCTGCTTCATTCGTCTTTTATATAAACAGTTCTAAATGGAGTCACCAGCCTTCCCTAAAAAATTAGGATCACAGATTTTTTTTCAGATCTACAACAGGCAATAGAATAGAGATCAATCACCACATCTACAAACAAGATAACTGAAGCATGAATTAATGGAATGACAAATCTACATCAGTTTACCAGCTGCAAGCATTGATAGCTGAAAGCATTTGAAGACACTTCTGTTCAAAAGATTTATCCTCCAACATTTACTATAAAATTTTGTACACATTTTCTACATTTCAAAATGATATATAAAATACAAATTTTAATACATTTTCTTCTCCAGAAGAGCACAGAAGGAAGGAACTGTGCTGCATATAGGTACCCTGTTCTTGGAATCAGGCGCTTATCTTCTCTAATTAGAGCATGGGCATAGTTCTTGAAAGCTGGATCACTATGAATTTGCAAAGTGATAGTCATACTGGAGTGTAGTGGCACATTCACAGCCACCGCTGCCTCAACCTACTGGGCTCAGGTGATTTCTGCTTCAGTCTTCCAAGTAGCTGGAACTACAGGCGTGCGCAATCATGCCCAGCTAATTTTTTAATTTATTGTGGAAACGAGATCTCGCCAAGTTTTCCAGGCTGGTCTCAAACCTCTGGGTTTAGGCAATCCTCTTGCCTTCACCTCCCAAAGGGCTGGGATTACAGGCGAAAGCCACCGCACTTGGCAATGATCCTAATTTTTAAGGGAAAGGTACTGACTCTATTTAGAGTATTGCTAAATATAGGACAACACAGCTTTAAAACAATTTTTGAATCTTTGAACAATTTTTGAATGAGTATATATACCACCCACTTGGAGATCTTATTAAAAATGCAATATCAAACTGGACACGGGGCTCATGCATATAATCTCAGCACTTATTGGAGGTTGAAGTGGGAAGAAGACCAGCCTGGGCAACATAGTGAGATGCACATCTATTATAAAATAAAATTTTTAAAAGTATAATACCAATACTGTAGATTCAGGGTTGAACCTGAAATTCTATATGTCTGTTAGCAGTGTGTTAAGCATCTGAGTGATGGCAATAAGGCTAGCATACGGCTACTCCACCCATAGATACTAGGCAGCAACTAGTATACTGGACTGAAGTCTGATCCCTAGCCTTGAGTTTACTTTTCTCTCATTTACTACACTGAGTTTTTCTAAAGAACAAATGTGATTATCTTTGTAAACTTGGTATTTGTCCACCATTCTTAGCATGCAGTAGACCCTAAATTGTTGAATCAATTATGCTCATTTGGTGCCTTCATCAAAAAGGAAAGCACAGGAGATCCATGGGTCTATGCCTGCAATAACTGGACCTAAACTAAATTTCAAGTAGACTCTAACTCCAGGAAATGAATAATCTTCTGACTGTAAGTACTTGCAGAGGAGGGATTTGTTTTTAAATTACCTCTGTTAGTACATAGGAGGCACTGAATGTGTAGAATGTGGGAGTAAATGTTGGAATTTGTCAACTAAATATAGCAATCTATGATCTGTATGTAGTACATTGTAACTGTATGTGTACATTGTACATTGTAATTTTATTATTATTATTTTTTTTTTTTGAGTTGAGGGTCTCACTCTGTCGCCCAGGCTGAAATTCAGTGGCATGTTCACAGCTCACCACAACATCAACCTCCACCTCAGCATCCCAAGAAGCTGAGACTACAGGTGTGCACCACCTCACCTTGTTTTTTGTTTGATTGTTTAGAGACGAAGACTCACTATGTAGCCCAGGCTGATCTTGAAGTTTTGGGCTCAAGCAATCCTCTCACCTCCACCTCCCCCTCCCAAAGTGCTGAGATTACAGCGTGAGCCCCTGAAACCAGCTACTTTAGTTTCTTTCTTTCTTTCTTTCTTTTTTCTTTTCTTTTCTTTTCTTTTTTTTTTTTTTTTTTTTTTTTTGAGTTGGAGTCTCACTCTGTCCCCCAGGCTGGAGTGCAGTAGCACACTCCTGGCCACCACAACATGGACCTGCTGTGCTCAGAAGATCCTTCCGTCTCAACCTTCCAAATAGCTGGAAAAGCAGGTGCGCACAACCACGCCCAGCTAATTTCTTGATTTATTGTAGAGATGCGATCTTGCCAAGTTAAGTTACCCAGGCTGGTCTTGAATCCTTGGGCTCAGGCAATTCTCTTGCCTCCGACTCCCAAAATGCTGAGATTACAAGTGTGAGCCACTGCGCCCGGCCAGTTACTTTGTATTAGAACAGAATTTTGTAGAATGTATTAGGGTTATTTATTTCTAATTTGCAAAGCTTTATCCACGATAATGTACTATTTATGCTTTCCTGGCATGGAAGCAGTGGTAGTAAGGTCGAGTCTCCAGAATCAAGTCCAGCAATACTGCTTATTAGAAAGAAGATTGTTTTCAAGCCTAGGATTCCTGATCTTTGCACTGCAGAGTGCTTTCTAAATTGGGAAACAAATAATGTAAATTTAGTTAACATTGATTCATCTTAGAGTTCCTTCATTAGGACTACTGAAAACGATGCGTATGTATATGCCTTTTTAAACGCAGCATTTCATGATCTACCAAATTTAATTACTGGTACACTGTAAGAATTAAGAATAACATTTCTTTTTAAGACTCTTCACTTTTAAATATTAGTTTTAGTGGTACCGCACGCCTGTAGTTCCAGCTACTGGAAGGCTGAGGCGGAAGGATCGCAGCAGGTCGAGGCTGCGGTGGCCGGGAGCAGCCACTACACTCCAGTCTGGGTGAGAGTGAGACTCCAACTCAAAAAATAAATAAATATTAGTTTTATTCTGGTGTCTTTCTCTTTTGTAGGCAACTGTAGCCTTACTGCATTTTTACAGATGACACGACTAGGTAGGATACGTACAGAAAAAGTTATTTGAGAGAGCACACAAGCATTGAACTGGAGGACACACAAACTAGCGGCTCAGGACCCAAACAAGGAAAGAGGAAGGAGTCAAACACTGAGTTGCATCTCCCTCCCCTCTCCTCCCCATTTCCTTCCTTAGGCAAGGGTAGGGGACGCCCAGTAAGGTAGGGAAGAGGCGGGGACTGAGTTTCCTTTTCGCCCCGCCGTTTCAGTTTTCAAGAAGGTCCGCACACTTGATATATAAGGGGCTGCAACGGCCATCCAGGTTGTGGAACGGTGTTGCGTGCTCTGGGCTGAAGATGTCTGGCCGAGGCAAGGGTGGGAAAGGTCTAGGTAAGGGAGGCGCTAAGCGCCACCGCAAGGTCCTCCGCGACAATATCCAGGGCATCACCAAGCCGGCTATCCGTCGCCTGGCTCGTCGTGGCGGAGTCAAGCGCATCTCCGGCCTCATCTACGAGGAGACCCGCGGGGTGCTCAAGGTGTTTTTGGAAAACGTGATCCGGGACGCCGTCACCTACACAGAGCACGCCAAGCGCAAGACTGTCACAGCCATGGACGTGGTCTACGCGCTTAAGCGCCAGGGACGCACTCTCTACGGCTTCGGAGGCTAGACCTTATTCCGAGTTTTTTTGGCAAGAAAGAGTTTGAAAAAGGTCCTTTTCAGGGCCACCCACTTGATCACATTAAGTGCTGTGGCTGATGCTTCAAAGATGCAGAGGTAACGTTTTACATCAGTGCTAACAGCGCTAACTCAGCCAGATAGAGGCCATTTTGGCGAGTCTAATGGACTTAGTTGGCTACTTTGCAGTATCAAGATGGCGGATCTCGAGAGTGCCCAAGGACTAGAAGCGAAAAAAATTAGGTGCCATGTTCGTTGCCGCTGCTTCTAACACTAGTTTCGTGCTCTATGGGAAAAAAACTGGTGAACTGCTTGCTGGTCAGCCTATGGCCTTGACTCGTGTGGTCCTAACTGCAATAAAACATTTTTCTGTCCCATTGAAAAGGTGGCTTGTCTCTTGTCTTACTCGCTTTTTGAGCTTTTTCACTTAAGGTTTAAGTTTACCTTTTAGTCTATATCTGTTGTCCAAAGACAGCAATTACAGGACTTTATCCTCTTCTGTTAATAACTTCATTGGACAATAAATTTGGGAACAGTAACCATGGTGATATCCCAGTTAGAAGTTTTAAGACCCCTGCTGGCTCCTTTTCGTGTTTTAGTGTTTTCGTTGCATCTAAACTTCCCATCAATTGCTAGGTTATTTGCACTTTATCAAACTTCCAAGGATCAAGTAATCTGCTTTCACTGTCTCAATCTTTCCTTGATTATGTGACTTAAACCTGAAGTCACTAAAAATGTCCTTGCCATGTTTTTGCTGTGCTTACTAGTGATCTAATTGCCAAATCCGAAAGCATACTTGAACTTGGTATCTGGCCTTGTTTATAGCTCCTTCCTTCACGGTCTACTCACAAAGTTTTGTAATACCTTTCTGGTCCAAGTCCTATATTCCTGATACTTTTCAGTCTGCTTTTTCTTAGTTCTATTTTTCTGAGTCTTTCCAATGAACTCTTACACTTTTACCACTCTACAGATTCTCCATGAATGATTTCTTCCAGACTGCCATAAATAGACATCTTCAAGCAACTTATCAGTGCCTTGCAGTTCCCTTATATGTCACCTGCACTCTTCCCACTTTACAGTCCTTCCCTTTGCAGAGATCTGAGTGATGTGCAGTTTGTCATCTTGGCAAAAAAAAATTTTAAACACCTTCTCTAATTCTACCTGCAGAATAAGACGCAATTTCTGTCAACATTAAATTTTAAGGTTATTTATTAAAAGGAAGATATGTTGTGAAGGGCACAATGGTCAGGATAGCAGGATAGCAGGAGTGTCGGCTCTCTGCTCAACAGTAATCCTTATACATGTTGTGTTGTCTGCAGTAATTCTTTGCAGACACTGTTTCTTCCACAAATAGCCTCTGACTTTGGCTGTTTACTCTTTCAAGAGTGTTATTTACTGTCGGGTGAGGTGGTTCACGCCTGTAATCCCATCGCTTTGGGAGGACAAAACAAAACAATTGCTTGAGCCAAGAAGTTCAAGACCAGTCTGGGCAATATAGCCAGATCTCATCTCTATAAAAAATTAGCCCTGGACGGTGGCACACTCCTATAGTCCCAACTACTCTGGAGGCTGAAGCAGAACCTGAACCCAGGAGATAGAGGCAGTGATGACCCGTGACTATGCTACCGTTCTCCAGCCTGGGCAACAGAGTGACACTACAACTCAAAAAAAAAAAAGTTACCTTCAAGAAACCTTTACCTGATTCTCACAGGCAAAATCATTACCTAGAATTTCCTTACACTGTCCTCCACATGTGTCCCTAGCCCTACTTTCTCTATATGACTTAAGCAGTTGGTGATGATGAATACTGCTTTCTTCTGAAGATTTCTTGAGGCTTTGCCTTAAGCAATGTCTTCTTTTTAGTGCCCCCAGGACTTACAAAAATTATATATTATTTACTTCGCAGATGTTTATGCAGTGACTGAATGAATCAGTTAACAAGCCAACTGGACCACCAAAATATGCTTTTATAAAAGTCACTCCCAGCCGGACTCGGTGGCTCAGCCTGTAATCCCGTGCCTTTGGGAGGCTGAGGTGAGTGGATTGCCTGAGCCGCGGGTTCGAGACCCGCCTGGGCAGTGAGACCTCATCTCTACAATAAATCAAAAAATCAGCCGGGCGTGGTAGCACATGCCTGTAATTCCGGCTACTCGGAAGGCTGAGGAGGAAGGATCGCCAGAGCCCAGCAGGTCGAGGTAGCAGTGGCCGGGAGCGGCCACTGCACTCCAGTCTGGGCGACAGATTGAGACTCCAACTCAAAAAAAAAAATCACTCCCTTTTAACTGTATCTCTATTCCCCTAGAGACTTCTCTCTTAACCATTTTCCTTTACGTAAATGTCAAGATTCATGACTGCCAACCATTTATATTGAGGACTCTTAAAAATGCAGATTAAGAACCATTTATTTGTAATGAAAACAATGTAGTCCTAACCAGCACATAAAAATAAATAGAATAGATGATATTAAATAAAAGTTATCAAAGTACCATGTAATAAGAATATTGTGATAAAATTTTAGTTCTAGGTATATATGCTCTTGTTTGTACTGTAGAATTTTAAAGATAAAAATTTGAAAAACATGGGTCCACTCCTTTATAAATTTGTGAAAATCTCATGTTACATCATTGCTTTACTTCTCTGAGCATCAGAACAATAATACTCGCCTACAGCTGGAATGCAGATATGTGGCCTAGGCTTCACCAATCAGTTAAAATGACTTCTCTTTAGATTTGAAATACAGGAGAGAGGAGACTTTGCTTAAAGCTTCTGCTTCTACTGAGATAGGAGACGTTAGATGGCCAAATTTTGGTAGTGGCAGCAGCCATGGGTTCCAGGTGGAATCAAGTTCTGGTTCATCAGTGGTAGTTGTGGCACAGCAGCACCAGGCCAGATTTGCTGCACAGTTTTGGAGTTTGTCCCTGGAAGTGTCTTCAGGCGTGGTTCTATTCTATAGCCCTTCCAAGAATGCTATTATATGGTATCACTTTAAACATCCCCTTTAATGTGTGATTAGCCACAGTCAGCTGGGGACTAAGACCTCAGAATTGCTTTTTTAACAAAAAAAGGTGGCTATTTTATGATACTTTTGTATATTTTAGGAATTTGGAGTTGTTTTACAACAATAATGTTAAAAGACCTTATGCCTTATTAAAGTTGTGGTAAACAATAACACCTCCCCCAAATGCCCATGTGCTAATGTCCAGAAGATGTGAATGTATTCCCTTAAATGGTAAAAGGGACTTTTTCAATGTAATTAAAATTAGAATTTGAAGATTAGGAGATGATTCTAGATTACCTGGGTGGTCCTAGTGTAATCACAGGATCTGTATAAGTGGAAGCCGGGAGGATCAGAGTCAGAGAAGAGAAGTGATAAAGGGAACAGATTGTGATACACTTTGGAAAAGGAAGTGACCACATGACTGCCCTTTTGTTCCTGGCATATACAAAGCTTTTCTCACCTTGAGACTTTCAACAAGCACAAGGTTATCTAGTGAAGAATGTCCTTGGCCTGGCTCCCTGTCTGAGTCCAGGTTACGTGAATTATCACACAACTAGTAAGTGACAGAGCTGAGAATTTTTAGCCATTCTTGATTCCAGTCTGCTACATAATTTTTTGAAGGGGCACAGAAAATTCTGGCATCTCTAGAAAAGTTGTTTGCCTGAATAAGGTAGGGAAACCCTGAAAGGTAAAAAAGCTTAGCTTTGACAGGCAAAAGAAATTACAATAGGAAACCATATATCCTAGAAAGGATTATAAAGTTCTCGCTTGACCCTTGCACAAACATATTTTTTCAAAGTTTTGTCGTATTCTATTTCATTTGTTGTCATTGAAAAACAAAACGATGACTGTGTAAAGTTCCATCATCCCCTATGGAAGTTAAATAATACAAATCAAATATATACCAATCTAAATTAAATAGTAATTGATTGAGAAAGTACATATTTAATTCAGTGAAGCTAGCTATGTAGACTTGTTTTTGTTGTTGTTGTTTTTTTATGAGTCCATAAAATCCTGTATGGCCTACAAATGATTTAAAGTTTGACACCATCCCTATAATATACTTCCAGGGACAAGGCAAAGGATTTTCAAAAGAAAAGTAGCTGGGCTCCATGGCTCAGCCTGTAATCCCGCGCCTTTGGGAGGCTGAGGTGAGTGGATTGCCTGAACTCGCGGGTTCGAGACCCGCCTGGGCAGCGAGACCTCATCTCTACAATAAATCAAAAAATCAGCCAGGTGTGGTAGCGCATGCCTGTAATTCCAGCTACTTGGAAGGCTGAGACGGAAGGATTGCCGGAGCCCCGAGGTCAAGGCTGTGGTGGCCGGGAGCGGCCACTGCGCTCCAGTCTGGGCAATAGAGTGAGACTCCAACTCAAAAAAAAAAAGAGAAAAGTTAAAAGAATGCTTATAATAGAAATAGACACATTTTACTTTATTTTATAAAACAGCGAGTTGTGTGGCATTTCTTCATAATGCAGTTGGCACAAGACACCATCCATTTGGCTCTCCACACTTATTTTCACCTTCTCCCCTGTGCCCTGGATTATGTGAGACTAACTGTGCGTTTCATAAATGTGTTATCTGGACTCTACCAATTGAAACCCCATACAGGAGACTGGAGGAAAGAGGGGAAATGAGATGGGATATTTATTCCCCATTTTCCCTTCCGGGGTCACCATAGGTCAACCTGCAACCCATCCTCGAGGTCACAGTTCCTGTCAGGGATCCTTGTCTATACAACTTTGGTGACTCCTTTCCCTTTCAGGCTTATAAGTGATCCTTACTAGGCCTAGAGGCACTATGGGGGAGGGGGAGATGAAGGGGGAGGGGGAGATGAAGGGGCAGGGGAGAGTTCTATATCCTACTCTCAATTTGCAAATGGTTTATTTAGGAAACTCTCCTCCAGTTGTCCTATGTGAATACCTGGTTTCCAGTCTTAACCAATCTCAGTGTGGTAATTACACTGCATAGAGTAAGGCCAACATATTCAAATGAATGGCTATAACTAGAATAGAAATTTCACGGTCACAACTTGTTAACATATTTTCCACAACATAAGGTTAAATCTCATTTTCTCAATTTATAAGAGGAGGCCCTCCTCACTCAAGCAACTATCAGGCCTGCATCTTTTTCAGATGCCAATTTCCACGGCATAAAACTACTTGCTGTCCCTTGTGTCTTCACACTGACGACCCTCCTACCCTTTGCCAATATTACCTGAAATGCCTTATTCCCATATCCTCCCCTCTGGTTAACTTCTGATCAAGGATAGCAAGAGATTATACATATGCTTATGACAAGTGACATGGAGCTGGGTATCCTGCTACTTCCATCCCCTCTCTGAAGGCTAGACAAAGGTCTGTTACATTCACCTTTTCAGAGACCTTTCTCATGATGGCCCAAGAATTAAGTTTGTCATCGATTTAATTTTTTTCCAAAATTTTTGTAATAAAAATCTTTAGACAAACAGATGATAAAAGATGGGTTTATTGGCAAGTCATGGTGTCTGTAATCTCAGCACTTTGGGAGGCCAAGGTAGGAGAATCTTTTGAGGCCAGGAGTTCGAGACCAACCTGGGCAAAAAATGAGATCCCTGTCTCTACATTTAAAAATAAGAAATAAAAAAGTAAAATAAGAGTGCACCAATCATCCACCATCTAGATTAAATAATTGAGCCTTTTTTTAACATATTTGTATACATTGTATTTATATAAACATATATGCATATTTATAAACATTTTTGGCCAAGCCATTTGAAAGTAAATTACCTAAAGACTTAAAGACTTCAGTATCTTACTCCTAAGAATAATTGAATTCTCCACATAATCTCAATATATCAAATCTAAAAGAAAAAATTTCTAAAATAATCTATTATCAGTCCACATTAAAATTTTCCAGTTGTCTCCAAAATGCAAAGCTTCTGTAAATCTTTTCAAGTCAGAATGTAATGAACACATTTAGTTGCTTTATGGCTTTATTTTCTTTGAGTCTTGAATCGTGAGCCCCATTTATATATATATATATGGATTTATTGGCAAGTCATGGTAACAAATAGTCATATAACAGTGACTATTTGAAGATACAAACCAATCGTTTTTTAAAGTCCCACATTCTGTATTCTGAATTTTCTCCCTTGGGATGATTGACTCCCTGCTCTGTTGCAAGCAGCTGATTGAGACATGATTAGATTCCAGTTACTTTTGTCAGGGTGAGGTTCTATATAACCCACCACAAGCAGAGGCATGAAAAGGTATTTTTAGAAGTGCTAAATTAAGTCACTTAAACAAGGGGGCCAATATTTTAATTCATTAAGGCTTATAAGTTGTCTTTATCATCTCTTGTGAAAAGGTTTAATGCTTTTTTAAAAGGTTGAAAAACATTCAGAACAGCCTAAGTTCTGACAACTATTTTATGGTTATCTTAATTATTAAATAGTTAGTAATGTGGTGGGGATACTCAACTCTTCATTCGTTGTGGAGACGTTAATGCAAACTTAAATAAAAATCCTACAGTACGTCTTCTGATTAAAAGCCTTAAGGTGGCAAGGAAGCTACTGTCTGGAGCCAAATAGTCATATAACAGTGACTATTTGAAGACGCAAACCAATTGTTTTTTAAAGTCCCACATTCTGGATTCTGAATTTTCTCCCTTGGGATGATTGACTATTCAGACAAGGACACAATAGCGTTTAGAATAGCTTCTGATAGCATTTCCAGGTTTGTACCACCAAGCCACATAGAGGAACCCAACGATCTTGTTAAGCAATTTATCTCCAGTGTGAGCCCCTCAAGAGAAAAAGTAAGCGGCCCTGGAAAGGGCCTTTAGTGCTGTTGCCGCAGCATGAGGCCAGACTCAACTGCCAAAACCATAAAGGGTGCGTCCCTGAGGCTTGCGTGCATAGACTACGTCCATGGTTGTTACAGTCTTGCGCTTGGCGTGCTCGGTGTAGGTTACGGCGACAGGAATCACATTTTCTAGGAATACCTTGAGCACTCCGCGAGTCTCCTCATAGATAAGGCCAGAGATGCGCTTGACTCCACCACGGCAAGCCAGACGACAAATAGTAGGCTTAGTTATACCCTGGATGTTTTGTTGCGCAAAACGTTACGGTGGCGTTTAGCGCCACCCTTACTTACCTAGACCTTTACCTCCCCTTCCCCGCGACCCGATATAACAGAGGCTGAAGACTGGGACTCAACGAACACCAACCGCAGTTATATTAGCGTAAAACTGAAAGACTGAAAGACTGAAATAGGCAGGAAAAAGCATTGCCTGTCCGTCCCACTGTTTCTAGGAATACTAAAACCTAAGAAAAAATGGGAGTAGGGAGAATTACTGGTAGAGAATGAGACTCTAAACAAGTGTCAAAATGGATACAAAGTACCTTTTTAAAAAATATATGTATGTATGTATGTATGTATGTATGTATGTATGTATGTATGTGTTTAAAGATGTGTTCATTTTGTATGCATGATTGGGTTATTTGCCGTACTAGAATTGAAATAAATCTAAACTCCAAGAAGATAAAGAAATGCATAATCATATTACCAAGGCACCCAGCTAAAGGGAAGAAGCTAGGTTTGGGGTTTGCAGTCCCTGAGCAGCTGCTTTCACACTGATACTGGACATGTCTGTTAATGAGTCTCCATGCTCTTGTTGTAAAAGGGTAAGTACTTAATATTTGAATTATTTCGCTGGTAAGTCTTGTTTCCAAAGACTCTATTCTTACAAAATATAATACAAACAGGAGTTAAGCACATGGAAAGAATTTCAAAACATTTCCTATATAACACAAATACATACAGTGTGCTTTTCATATGAAGGACAGAGTGGAGGGGTGATAGTCTTCTAGGGTTGTTGCAGAAAATTCAGGCAAAGCTGTCATAAACTCTAATACTAGACAAGGGGACTTTACAAAAGTACCAGAAGTAAAAGCATAGTCATCACTAGACTTTTTTCATCATAAAAACAATTTGCTGAGCTAGTTGAATGCGAGCACTTAAGAATAATAAATGTGTTTAGAAGAAAATGTTGAAAATAACAGTGGATTTGTATTGAGCACTTATGATGTACCAAGCACTGTCCTAAAATCCCCGGATTTGTGAGGCAGGGTCAGAAACATGTAACAAATCATGTATGTTCATGAATAAATAGCCTAATGAACATGTCACCACCAAAAAAGCCAAGAGTGCAAAAAACTATATGTGCAAGAAAAAAAGAATCACATGAATTTGTTATAAACCACGAATCCCAAGCAATGCAAACACCAACTCCGAAAGAATTTTCACAGCCTTATTACACAATTTATCTTTTCACAAGTCTCAGTAACGGTAGACTTCCCTGAATGCTGAACCCAATCTTCCCTACAAGTAAAACCCAGTTGAAGGTGTCCAGAATGACACTCCAAAATATGCTACCCTGGCATGTTAACTATTTTGAGTTCAAGGTTATTGAAAACGCGAGGCAAGAAAAAATTCTTCCTAAAAGTGGGAGTTGGAAACCCCTTGGTAAAGATTACCTCCCTGTATTAACTTTACCAAGGAATGGAAATAGAGACCGAGGAAAATCTGTGCAATGTTTGTGAAACTCCTGACCTTTGCACAACAGTGTGCAAGTGTACAATGTTATCTTGAACTCTTGATTTCCTTTTTCCGGGCTCCAGTGCCAAATACTTACACTAATTTTGTATGCTTTTCTCCTGTTGACCAGTCTTACCCCAGATTTAAGGGGAAGACTCAGCCAAAAACCTTAAAAGAACGCGAAATCTTGTTTCCCGTACTCTACAAATGAAGTCGTCGTAATCTTCTATACGTGGTTTTTTCCTCGGGTCTTGGGCTTTTTTTGGGGGGGGGCCTCAGCACACGCCCAACCCACTTAAAAGTTACAGTCGCGAGGTGAAGGTCGGGATAAAAAACCTAGCAGCCCCGCCTACACTCCCTCCGACCCCCCCCCTCGTTTGTATGGACAGTGCTACTTGAGGCACAGCGCTTTAATATGAAAGCGTAGGTGGCTCTTAAAAGAGCCTTTGTGTTTTGGTACTCGCCCAAAGTGCACTTTATGCTCTCTCTCCACGAATGCGGCGGGCGAGCTGGATGTCCTTGGGCATGATGGTCACTCGCTTGGCATGAATGGCGCACAGGTTGGTGTCCTCGAAGAGCCCCACCAGGTAGGCCTCGCAGGCCTCCTGCAGCGCCATCACGGCCGAGCTCTGGAAGCGCAGGTCGGTCTTGAAGTCCTGCGCGATCTCGCGCACCAGGCGCTGGAACGGCAGTTTGCGGATCAGCAGCTCGGTGGACTTCTGGTAGCGGCGGATCTCGCGCAGGGCCACGGTGCCGGGCCGGTAGCGGTGGGGCTTCTTCACGCCGCCGGTGGCCGGGGCGCTCTTGCGGGCCGCCTTGGTGGCCAGCTGCTTGCGCGGCGCCTTCCCGCCGGTGGACTTGCGCGCTGTCTGTTTCGTCCGAGCCATGACAAAAGACCGTGAAGCTTGTTTGCAACTGTAGCAACTGCCGGACTTGCTCCTTTTTATAAAGACAAAGTCCTTCTGATTGGTCCGAATCTTCAAATTTCGCGCCCTGAGTTAAGTAATCTGATAGGCCTTGATGATTGGCTCCCAGGACTCATTTGAGAAAATGATAATCAATGGCAAGAAGTCTTTTTTCTTACTTTTAGTTGTCCTTTGTTATGTATTTTGTGTCTTCCCGTATTATGTATCTTATTTGATTTTATTTTAATCAATTTAAAGTTTGGGAGGAGACGGAAATGAACGTTCCGCAGTTCCGGAGCGATTTTTAAAAGTCCGCGTTTGAAAGTAATTGGTCGAGCCCAGTTTCCTCCCTTACATTTTGATATCTGGCTTTGAATATATGTCTTTCTTTAGCTATATAAGCACTCTAACTTTTTAACTTCTGAATTTTACACTGACAAGACACTCCGTTCCTAGGGAGCATTAAAGTACCTCCGCTGTTTAAATACGTCGATATTCACTAGCATTATTTTGAGAACACTTAAATGTTTTGCCATTTTCTTATTCTCTAAGAATTAGCTCTTCACAGATACTTTCAAAACCAGAAACTGAAATTTGGTACGAAACTAGAGACATAAACTTAGATCTTTTTTCTGTTTAGATCCACATCTAGAGAGACAGGATTGTGTTACAGTAGATATTACTGACAAGACATTATTCTTCTTCTTTTTTTTTTTTTCTTTTTTTTTCCCCCGCTGTTTAGATCGAAAAACTCGGTTTTGATTTGTTTGGTTTGGTTTGGTTTGGTTTGGTTTTTGATGGTGCACAACAGTCTTCAGGATATGTTCTTCACAGATATCCAATCACAAAGTAGATTTGAAATCGCTTTATTTGCATAAAATATTTTTATTGGCTGAATTGATCCAATCAGGAATTGAGAAAGACAGAGTGCTATTTGCATAAAAGACCTACAAAAAAAGGGCAAGCTGTACTGTTAATCGTCCGTCTTACGGTCTTTCTTGCTTCTGGAGGTTTGCTTAGTCATGCCTGAGCCTACTAAGTCCGCTCCTGCCCCGAAGAAGGGCTCCAAGAAAGCGGTCACCAAAGCGCAGAAGAAGGATGGCAAGAAGCGCAAGCGCAGCCGCAAGGAGAGCTACTCTGTGTACGTGTACAAGGTGTTGAAGCAGGTCCACCCCGACACCGGCATCTCGTCCAAGGCCATGGGCATCATGAACTCATTTGTCAACGACATCTTCGAGCGCATCGCGAGCGAGGCGTCGCGCCTGGCGCATTACAACAAGCGCTCGACCATCACTTCCCGGGAGATCCAGACGGCCGTGCGCCTGCTGCTACCGGGGGAACTGGCCAAGCACGCTGTGTCCGAGGGCACCAAGGCTGTCACTAAGTACACCAGCTCCAAGTAAATGTGCTTATAGTCGCTGTATAACCCAAAGGCTCTTTTCAGAGCCACCTACTCGTCTCAATTGAGAGCTTTAATTCTGCCTTGCTGCCATATTCTTAGGAGATGTTGCAAATAGCTATACTTCGCCCTTTTCTCTAGCCTATTCTGGCTACATATGTTTAACTATCTTTTGCCTTATTGAGTAGATGATCTGGGCAAATACAGAATTGAGAACTGTCCTCATAGCCAAAGATTATATTCTGGCTTTGAATTTTATTTTATTTTATTTGAGTTGGTGTCTCACTCTGTCACCCAGACTGGAGCGCAGTGGCACGCTCCCGGCCACCGCAGCCTCGAACTGCTGGGCTCTGGCAATACTTCGGCCTCAGCCTTCCAGGTAGCTGGAACTACAGGCGTGCGCTACCACGCCCGACTAGTTTTTTTTTTATTTTATTGTAGAGATGAGGTCTCGCCAAGTTGCCCAGGCAGTTACAGAACCCGCGGGCTCAGACAATCCACTCACCTCAGCCTCCCAAAGCGCTGGGATTACAGGCTGAGCCACAAAAAGTAACTCGGCATCATTTCGTCTGGGGCAGGTAAGTTTGAGTTGTCAGGACGAATTGGAAATGTATTGGGCGTCTTTAGCCGTTCTAGACAGCATAATAGTGCCTTTATTAAACTGTTAAAAATAGGTAATACACTTATTCTTGGCCAAAAGGCCGAAAAGCAATAATGTGGCCTTTGAAAGTTAGAGGAGTTAGTATCTAATGGAAGGTAAGAATTTCAGTGTCCTAGGAAGGAAACTTTATGAAAACGATAACTCAAACTTTTAGAGAAGGAGTTTTAGACGTCTATGAAAAAGTTTAAAAGGATGGCATAGAGAAACAATAACCAGCTGGTAACAATGTTTTTCTTTTGTGTAAGAATGACTGGCGGTCAGCCAAGAGGCTAGGCTTGAGCAATCTTATCTCGAAAAGGCCAAGAGGAATAAAAAATTTTAAAGAACAAAAAAGAAAATACAATTTTTGCTGTGGATTATTTAGACGCTGAGATTGAAAACTAATGGCAAAGTAATATTGGCCCTTCCCTTTCTGTCCTTGATTTTTGTTAACTCCACGTTCATGAGCATTTTTCCCTGTTGGATCATGGAGTTGGCAGGGTGGCAGGAGGTAAGAGAGTAATACTGTAAGATACTACATCTGAAGTATACCAAAAATGTTTCCTTAAAGTGTTGGGTAGATGGACTCAGAGTTTATTCATTCCTTTAATGAGAGTGAGAGTCTATTAATTTACAGAAAATACTTGACAGCAGGATAGAAATGATCCCTGTCCTTTCCTGGATTGAAGTCTAAAATGGATATTAAAACAATAAGCTCACAAACTAACAGGAGGAAGCACAAAATGGATAATCACTTTTTTCTTTTAACTGGCTTTGATGGAGCTGAATTTAAATTGCCAAAAGCTGATTTAACATAACCTTGAAATTGCTGGAGGCAATTTTGGAGGCAAGGTGGAACAAAAGAGCCAAGATAAGAGGAGCCAGCAATGTGAATTTTGAAAACTGATTCTTGCCTTTTGAGGGCAGCAGCCAAGTAGGAGTGTGTGAGGGGAGGAGAGGAGGGAGGGAGAAAGCCAAAGTTGGACTACAGTTAAGAGATCATAGCAAATCTTCATGTAAATTTGTGTAAATAATGTGTTTAATGTTTTTTTTTTTCTCATGTGCACCTGAATGAATAAGTGTTTGATATCCCAGGAAGTGACAGACAAAATAGTCACTAGTTAATAAAAGTAAAAGTCTATTTCTTCCCCAAACAAAAAACAGCTCATACCTGGAATGGAAGCTCTAATTTTCCTAGGAAAATTCATTTCCATATGTGTATGATGTGTGTTTTTCTACAATTCAAAGTATTCTCAAATATACTGTGCCACTGAGTTCTGCTATAAAGGACCATCACAACAGCAAATGGGATGGATGAAACAAGCAGGATTAGTAGCCTGTGAGATGTGTTAGACATAGAGAAAGTCAGTAGGGTCTGTGTGTACTACACAAAGATAGGGAGAGAAAAATCAATCAAGAAGAGCCAAATAATTGTGAGACACCAAATATTTATAAAATACTCAATATGTATGAAGTCTTAAATTGACCACCATTGTTAACACCCATTTTTGCCTATCCTATTTGCCTTCTGCAGTCAACACGCATATAAAATAGTCACAGCTCCTCATTGTGTCACTGGTGAACAATATGGGTGGCTGTAAACTTGTCCCTGTATCTCTCCAATAAAGCAAGCATGTGTTGGCTTCAAATAGCTTTCATCTACTCAGCCCACTTGTATATCATCAACTCTGGTTCTGAAAACTACCCTCTCATTAGGGAAAATATGCAGGAAAAGGAAAAGATCTCGAACATATGACATACATAGCCAAAGAGTCAAGAAGTAAGACTGTCTTTTTAACTTATCTGAAATGTGTTAACTTGCTGAATCTCTTTTCCCTTGTTTCTTGCTATGTTTAAAAATTATTTACTAATATTAAATGTCATAGAACCCAGGAAACTTAAATTGGCCTGTGATCCTTTCTTTCCATGACCTCCAGAATTGCCTGCCTGGTACTTATTTGGAGGCTACCATTACATTAAGGTACTTTCCCACACAGTGAGAATGACACAGTGTAACTCTGTTATTCTTAATATACCTCTTCTACCTTGTAGTCCAAGATGCCTGTTCCAGCTCCAGGTATCATGTTCACGCTTCCTCCCTAAGGAAGGAAAAAAAGTAAGTTTCCACTGTTAATGGAAACTGAGGGACTTTAGAAAATGCCACCCCAAAATATATTACTGTGAGCTTTAAGCTGAGGGCACTCAGGGAACAGCAATAATGTGTAGGGGGTCAAGGGAAAATTTTCCTTTGCCCTCTGAAGTTTCACTGAAAATCACTGGCCAAAAGGCAGTGTAACAAAAGAAAAAGCACACCAATTTATTTGATCATAGTTTCACGTGACACCTAAGCCTTCAAAAACAAGTTCCAAATATACAGGGGAAACTATCCATTTTTTTATGCTTAGTTTCAGCAAAGTATGTGCAGCTGTGTAGACATATGATTGGACAAAAAGGACAAATCTAATGTTCAGAGACTGGAGAAACAGCAAGGCCTATTTGTTGGGATTCTTCTTGACCTGTCTGAGCCTGTATTTCTCCCTTGTGGGTATGAGACAAGACCCTCTCTGGAATGGAAGTCTTATACCTACTTTCAAACGAAGTTTGGACATATAATTTTTTTATGGCCAACTTGTACACAGAAAGCCAGGAGTAAAGTTGGAATTATATTTTTAGGATTTATGGCTGACTCAGGAAAATGAGTTCTGGTTTCTATAACCACCTTGGGTAAAGGGGTTTCTAATTTTTATGACTAGCCTCAGGGGAGAATGAGAGGTCAGAAGAGGGTAGAAATTCAGAGGAAAAATTTTGCTTCTGATGTCTTCATTTTGGAATATCATTTTCTGAACCCCAACAAATGCAAGGAGGGGCTTTCTCTGAACTTCCCCTTATCTCACTGTAGACAGACCCTTCAAAGGAACTCATTACTTCCCAAGTAATGTCATCAACTAGTAAAGATTAAACTCATATCACAAGAGAGGAAACTGGAAGTCAACACCACCCAGAGTCCGTCTCAGGCTATCACTGTTTCTTCTGAGGACCCACTTATGTTTCCAAAAAATTATTTACTTTCTCCTAAATTGTCTACATCCCATCCTCTTTTCCTATATCCTATGAAAGAGATGCACAAGCTTCTAGAATCTCACTGGGTTATTGGGTATTCACTTTTCTTTCATGGGATTTCCCCTTGCACATAACAAATAGGTATACCATTTTTTTTCCTGTTATTCCGCCCACTGTACATTTATTTCCTAGACTCAAACCCTGAGGGTACAGAAAATGTGTTCCCTTTCCTACAAAACCCACAAAATAGTATAATGCCTGCCATCCTTGCTAATACACCATTGATCAAAAATAGTGGCTATACGTAGCTCCAAAGCATTTGGAAGTTTACTGAATTAACGGAAAACAAACTTTAGAGAACTATATGACAATCCCTAACTCAACTCTGTCCTGAAGACAATATAAACAAGACAAGAAGAATAGTTCTTAGAGGCTAACTGATGAGTTTTTATATCTGTGTGTAGTTGGACACTGAAATTTCCAGCGCAAAAACAAATAAATTATAAACACTGGCAAGATTTGCTTCAGTTGGCAAGATAATAAAACAATACAACTCTAACTAGAATCAGATGTTCATTCTCTGTTGAACAGTGCTAGGAATCCAAATGTAACTGTTTGTAATCAGCAAAGGACTAGTGAAATCAGAAGCACACCTTGAAAAGTGAAGGCAGGGCTACATGGTCAGACTCAATGCCTACTATGAATGAAGTTGGGTTGAATTTGAAGTCTGTTGGTACTCTACTGTTTTAAATATCCATTTTCTCATCTCACTGAAGAAGATATATACCTATTAGAGTTAATGTTCTTTCTGCACTGGCCTCCCCCCACCCCAGTAAGAATCAGCCTTGCCCTTTGCTTTAAATAGCTCAGTTCTCTCACTTCAAGATATCCTGTCATGTTTCTTAAAGCTCTCCACACCTGAAAAGTCTACCTTACTTAAATGTGCTTATCATTCAATCAAACCACAAAAGTAAGCCAGACATGGTCCTTATTACCCAGAACATGAAACATTGTCCTAAGAAAGAAAGAATAATGCATACAACATATCAACCTAAAATAATCAAAAGGGTCAGAATGTAATTTATAGAGAATGTATTCAAGCACAAAGTGTGAGGATAAACCATCAGGAATTGCCAACTTCAAAAAATGGAGTCAGTATTCTGAAGTAAGGAAGTGGTGATTTTATTTATACAGGCAAAAATAGAAAATAGTAGCAGGATTACAGCATGATTTATACATGGTTGGCACATAGTTACAGAAATCTGATTGGTTATTGGCAATGTTTCCTCTTGAGAAGGGTATATTTAACACTTTTTAAT